CCTTTCGCGTTGCCGGGACAGGTGGCTTCAAAATGCTTGGATTTTTCTTGCGTCTCGGCCCGGGACGTGATCATACAGAAGAGAGTCTCTGAAGAAGGAAGAAGATCTTCCTCGTTGGAATCGGATTGATCAGACCCGACGGAGCTCCATGCTCCTCTTCCTCTGGCTCTTGATTTCGGTGAATATCTCTGACATCACAAGGGACCGCCTGTAGGAAACTCGAAGAAGCCCTTTTGCATACACAATACCTACAATGCTTGAGAAAAACTTTTCGAGACCCGGGGAGCCTAACTGGCATCCCGTGATTCAAAAATTGAACGCTGTCGAATACCGATTCTTTTCCCACAGACTCTCAATAGAAGCCGACCAGTCTCGACTGTGCACCACGTTGCGCTAACGGTACTCCGGTGACGGAACCTTCAGGCATGCAAACGTCGAAAGTCGGAAGCGTTCTGTTCATGCGTGTCGATCGCGTATCTTTAGGTTCGAAAGCAAATTTTTCTGTTCTTCTGTCGATCGCTCTGCCGACGGACAAATCGAGGGTAGAAAGATCCGCATCTGTTGTTGCTTAACGTGTTCGACGTCAGGGGGCTGGTCCCTTAGAAAGCAGAAAAAAAGCGAAGACCGATCGGCACAAATGAAGAGCGTATAAACGAGGAGCGTGTTAGCCGCCTTCGTCAAAGAATACAAATCGCCGTTCGCCTACATACACAGATGAGAGCCCTCGTCCAAGAACAAGTGGGCGTCGAACACAAACGGTATTTCGTAGAAAACGGTTTCACCGAACATTGTTGTGTCGCGGACCCTTGTGGATATCCACCTCATGCTTCGGAACTTTCTCCCGTATCTCTGGCGAAGTCAGGCTTGCTGAGTTCATTCGCTGAGCCATTTTATAAATTTGCATTTTTCTTCAAATTCGCTCGTATGGCTGAGATCATTATTCGAGGGCCCGGACCGAACGCGCTCGAGTGCGAGCCACGACTCCTCGGGCGGTGATAATTGGTTTTGACTTGAATGAGGATTCGGAAAATTCCCCTAGCGTCGCTCGTATCACTTATCGCGTTGACGATATAGGTAGGCAAATACTGTGAACGCCAAAGTTCTCCGTTCACCGTTTCTATATTCCCCGTGAGCACTGGGCGAGGTCTTCAATCCATAATGGGTGTCATAAAGATAGCTCGAATCCCAGACTGGAAACTCTGGTCTGCAGTTTATGGTCGGCATACACGAGACACCAATCCCACAATTCAACACCAGACGTGTTCCTTGATCCCGATGTCGGTCTTCGCGGATTTGCTGTCCGACCCTGAGGAGAAAGCTTCTCGAATGCTGTCGAATCATGCTACGCCACGAGACAGACACTAGCCCCCTTGATTGATCAGAGAAATGTTGGACGACTTATGACTCGCAGTCTGCCGATTTTTTTATTTCCCGAGCCAATATGGGAAATCTCGAGGATATGAGAGGACGCGAGAAGCCTCGGAAGATTATTGTCGACGAGCGACGCTCTTTGTTGGTCGGCTGAGTCGGAGAGCTCAATAGCGGAAGTTTTAGATCGTTTTCAGCTTCTGATCGTTCCGACAGTGAAGGGGAAGAAAGCGCTCGCTCTACTGATAATTCGTTGTAAGGGTGTTCGTTGTAACGAGATTCCACTGTATTTCATCTGAACCTAACGTGGGCTTTCGGAAAACGTGGCCCGTCAAAGAAGTGGAACAGCTGCGATGTCGGTAGCAGCAATAAATCCAGTGCAACGAACAATCATCCAACGAGCCAGCAACAACAGCGCAGGGTTTAGGATTGTCGTCAAGACGTCCTGGGGCAATCTTTTTCCATCACAATGCATCGCGGAGCGTGTTTCTGCGCACACGTCCCCGAACGGTACCGTTCCTGTGTCGGCTTCCAACTCGATGTCAGTCGGCAAATCAGCCAGCGGTGACCCACTGTACCCTCAGCGGAAGAGGCCGCCCACAGACACGACTGCTCCGTACTATGGACGCTTTCGCTTTAATGTCGGCGGCAGGCAGACGCTCCGGCGAGCGAGCGGCAGAGACGGCTATGAAGTATAGATGAAGGCTCTCTTCATGTCTGTCGGCTTCCCCGCTATCGATGGCAGCCTCTCCGCTCGGCTGTCGTGCTTCGTGCCTCACCGGCTTGGGCTTTTTGCGCGCAGCAACAGATCAAGATGGCACTCTGCTTAGCGACCGCGCGCGGTTTTCCATGACGGGAAGTATCAAGAACGAGAAGTAGTCGAGCTTTCTCGAAGCGGTCGAGGAACGAAGCATCATGGATCGAATCCTCAGCTCACGGTTAGCTGGCCGCGCCTCTGATGTTGACTTTTTGAGGGATCCGGGATGATGAGCGCGTCTTCGGCTGGTCTCCCCAGTCAGAACCTTCCCGTGTGCGTTTTCTACAGTGCCGGCAGACATCTATCGGCTGCCCCCGGAAGGGCAGGTTTTTTTCTTATCAGCGACGAACCGACAATTCCATCGTCGGTGCACTCGCTCACCACTGTAAACATGGAGCATTTCCCAATCGGCTCGCCTTGAATGTAGTTTAATATATTCAACAGTTCTTATGAATTCACACGACGTCGTCGAAGCAAAATAACTTGAAAGCTACGCTCTGCAAGCGATGTCAAGTTCCTTAGGCCATCCATGAAAGCGAACGCCAATCGAACGATGATCGCATTATTGATTCTCCGGTCCGATGAGGAGCCACAAATCGGAACATCGAGCGCTCCAATGCCTGAAATCGAATGACGTGTCGTTTGCCTCTGGGCCGATAACTCGAGACCCCGACAGATTCCTTATATCGAGAGCGTGAATTTTGAAACGAAGGCGCCAGTGCTCGCTCTTCAGAAAATTGCCTCTCAGCTATGGATAGAGCTTCCGTCAGAAAGCTGTCTTCCGCGTACACACCTGCTCGGCCTCGAGCGGAGAATTCCGAGCGCCCTGACGGATATCTCGAATATTTGTCTAGTTCGTAAACCACTGATTCATGGACCGCTCCAGAATAATCTTGTCTTTTTCGGGGTATTGGTCCAGGCTAGAAGCGAACAGCTCAGTAAATTTTTGGGGAATAATAATAGATTCCGGCCAACAGAATGAAGGATCACAATGACGGTCTCAGTCTGGATAAATTGTACGATAGCATAGCTTTCTCACCGACAATGAGTCGAATGCATTCATTCACAATCTCTATAGGCTCCATGATAATTGGAGAGAGGGGGGGGGGTGTTGAGAAACCCTCCGCGAGAAGAGAGAGGTTCCCTCATGTTCTCCGGAGGGAGAGGGGCTCCCCACATCCGAGAGTTCTGGTCCATCCTGAGGGAAACTATCCTCTCGGTCTCGACGAGAGCGATGGACTCCGCATCATGGAGTCATACAGAAAGATTTCGGAGGAAATCACGGCCCCAGACCGTCCACAGTCAGGTATACTCCTCACCAGCTGTTGAGCCATCGAAGCCCCCTCCACGACGTTCAATCGGGAGCTACATCATTCGAGAGCACAACTCGTAGACTCGGGAAGCCCCCTTTTCGCAAATGAGCCACGCAATTTCTGCCTCGGGATTTCGAAACTCCCGGGAGCGTATAGTGGATATATCGTCAGCCCTGCACGGAATACCGTTTCCCAGACTGGGTGTGACGGCTTTTCTGTGGCGGCTCCGACGTTCGATAAGCAATTTCGTCGGGCACGGTACCAGATTTCAAAACGAGAAAGAAAATGCATTCAAGACAAAAGGAAATTATCGACCGAACTTTGAATGATTGGCGCCAAGGAGCGAGAAACCGCGCTAATGCTGATGCACCGACCGCAGTAGGCGTTCAGTTCGTCGCTAAAAGCCTCAGTCAGCTGTTGAATCACCTGAGAACGCTGAATTCTTGTTACGAAATTAATCATGACGACCGCGCCACAGATGACGTCTGATCTTGAGCGTGACTATCGAGATGCTTGGCAGAGAAGTTCTCTCTTCATCAGATGTGAGCGAGTGACACGGGATCGGTGTAAAATGCGACCGTGACCGTCGTAGCGGAGACGATTAAAGGCCGGGCAGGTTCGATGTTTGAAAGCCACGGATACCGCAGATGCCAGAGATTCCTTAGCGGTTGGCGTCTCTGGTCATTGATCGTCAGACCTCTTACGCCACTTCTACGTAGTTAGGTGGATCCGATCCTCGTTAAAACTCTTGATCGGAGCCTGAGCGTGAGCGCTTAGCCGCATGGCGGAATCTGACCTTACCCAACAAAGGCTCCCTTGTAAACTGCATCATACATACGAATCTACTTATCTACGATGTTCTAGCGTTACTTTCGGGCGAATACGCGGCGTGCGTGATTATGGGACAAGCGACGGAACCTCGAAATATCCTCGCTGGCGATATCTTGTATCGGCCTGGTCTTCTGGGGAGCTCCGCGAATTCGCTGACCTATGGATCTTGAAGAAGAAGTCATCCGTCATTCAGAATAATTTGTCTTTATTCCTGTCGAGACCAATCGTCATTTTTGCATTATTAAATTGCACCAGGTACATTGCGCGAGCGGATAGAGGAAGACCCTAAGCCATGGAATTTTCCAGCTCCCTGTGATTCGCTCGAGATAGGTATATAAATTACTCATTCTCTGTTTCTCTTTCGAACTCAGGATTGCGCTGAATACAATTCGCGACTACTTGTCATTTTATCGGTGTATCGATGACGGGGAAGTTCGTTCGTTCATGCTTTGTAGCAGCAAGAAATCGGCCGAGTGGCACGCGAGGTAAATACATGCACTCTGAAACACAAATGGAATGTTGTTTGGCGAGACGGTCCCGCCGAAAAGCGAACGGGATCAGTCATAGCGCTTCGAGGCCCCGCAAGGATCTACATTGTTCTGGATGAACGTGACGTGTACATGTAAAGAAAGCGTCACACCCGAAAAAGCTATGAGACGGAAACCTTGCCGTCGCGTCGCAGCACTTGCGACGGCAGTAGCGGAAAAACGAGACAGGACGCTCGCGAACAAATGAGCTACAATAAAAGAATAGAAGACACCGAAGCGATTCCCGAACGTTTGACGCATCAGGAATCTGTGAACATAGAATATACACATGATTATGAACAAGGCTCGTCTGGTTCTATCGGTCGATCGCCGCGCGGCTCAGTCAGTCGTCCAACCAACCAGCCAACCGGTTGGCAGCGACTGCCTACATAGTAGTACTACATCGGATGATTGTCGTCGTGGTCGTCGTCGTCGCTGTTGTTGTTGTTGGATCGGATAAGAGGACATCACGTTGGATCATCGACATCCATCAGGGCCGACACGCTCACATTCACACACATTTGTGCGCAAACAGGCTCAGAGTTCCGTGGTGATCATGGTTCGCTTTTTGACAATTCGACTGTCTATGCGAATCTCATCTTCACCGGAACTGCAGCGACCGTTCATGGTTCCTACATGCCACGGCGAAATCTCCTCCTCGGCCGAACAAGAAGACATCCGCCGCTGTTTTTCCGTGCTTATCAATTTGTTGCTAGCGGAACTCAGCGACCGTCGCACTTCGCCGTTGACTTCGTTGAGCTTCAGCAGGTCGTTGATGGTAGTCGGTGTTTTCTCGATCTTCAGTTTGCTGAGAGCCTCCGCCGGAACCGGAGTTATCGTAGGAGGTGGGAGAAGACCGCCCGACGAGTCTTCGGGACCCACTTCTAGCAAGGTCAATTCCGGCTGAGGGTCATGCAGGATGATAAGCGGGCCGGTCTCCTCGGACTTGTCCGATTTGCAGTTCATTTCGCTCGGGAAGGGTGTTCCATCGGGATTGCAGAGAATGACGGTTTTGAACTTTTCTTTAGCGATGTTGTTCTTGATCTGATTCGCCAGAGGGAACTTGCTGGGCTTATTGTTCACCAGCTTAAGGTTATTGCGGACAGGTTCACTAACCACAACAAGACTGTTCGAAGTGGTTACAACTACGGGTGACCCGGTCGCTGCCGCGGCCGTCGCCGCAGGAGCTGCCGTGGACGATGGAGTTTGAACCGTCGACGGTGTTGCTTTTGTTGTTGTCGTCGTTGCCGTCGTCATCATCATCGCCGACGACGACGCTACTGCTGCTGCTGCCGCTTTTGAATCGGCAGCGAGTTTGGGCTTTTCGTCGGTCTCTTCATCGAGAACGACTGTGTTTCCTCTCTTGTCATCGCCGGCCGGGACGAATTCGTTGTTGAAGTTGTGCGCCGTAACCGGCTTCGCTATAGACTTGATCAGGGTATCGAGGCGATCTTCTGCATTGTGCATGTCGAGATTCTTCATGGGAGGAACCACGACCGCTGGAACTTTAATTGGACCTTTTCCATAGCGATTTTCGGATTTGCTCGCCGAGCAGGAAGACGCCGCCCCGTCCGTGGTCGCTGGCCCGCCACCATTGTTATTGCTGCTGCTGCCGCCGCCGCCGCTGTTGCTATTATTGTTGTTGTTGTTGTTGTTGTTATTTTGTTGATGATTATTATTAGCCTTCGGACGACGTGTCGTTGACTGTCTCCGGGAGTATCTCTGCGAAGGTCGTCGCTCGAACTGAACGGTACGGCGAGTTTTGCGAGCGGTTGCCTGGTACTCGGTTTTCCCCGAGTAACGGAACCGCGAGCCCATTCGGAAAAGGTTCTGTCGCATGTTTCTCTGATGCTCGGGCAGAGAGCGTAGTCTGAAGAAGGAATGATGCTCAACGGCGCACTTCCAGAGATTTTTGGCAGCTTTTGGGTTGTACAGTCGGAACACGAATGTATGCTCGCGCTCGTATCCGTCGTCGTCATCTTCGACGACGATGAGAGTGAGCTTCTTATTTCTGAAGTCCAGTTTGGTGATCTTCGGCCAGAAGAACAAGCCGATTTTTGTCTGTTCTTCAAAGACCAGTATGCCGGTCGGTGTCAAGCCAAGCGAATAGTCCCGACCGTCTTTCCCCAAAACGGTGTGCATGTCGACCCCGTACATCTCGAGCCATTTGGCTTTGTTAAGATAATTCAATTCAGCTTGGGCGGAACTCTGACCGCGGAGTTTTCTGAACGAATCGAGGATCTCCATCTCCATTTCCTCGTCTTGCTCAACGCAAAATCTGAACTCCGAAATTAACTCGGGAGTATGCTCCTCCGGATCGTAGTCCCCGAGCTCCGACTGCAAGGAGTACGCGCTCAACTCGATGTTCGTATCACGGGGACAAGGTAGTTTCCCACTGAGGACGTCTTGCTTCAGTTGAAGGAAGAACAGATAGCGAGTCAATTCTTCCCGGAGCAAATTCGGTTCGGATATGTAGAATTTCACTTTGAGTCTCAGCGTGTAGGGGGGCCCAATTTTCACTTGTTTTTTCACCTGCTTGGTCGGGTCTAGCCAGTGCTGAACGTGGAAAGCATCCGTATACTGGAGACCAAAGTAGTCCTTCTCGATGAGATCGATATTGTAGAAAACCAGCTCCAGCAGCTCGGATCCGAAAGCTTTTTTTGGCAAATCGATACTGATGTCCGACCCGTCCAGCATGACTATTTTACACGGTAAAGAATGCTTCGAGCCAAGCGAACTGCTCGTTTGAGGGTGTTTTCCTCCCCAACGTCTACTCAGGTACCGAAACATCTTCACGATGATTTGCTCTCACTGTACCGATGCTCTGACAGCGCTCTGACTGTGTGTTCCTTGATTTTTGGCACTGTTTAAATCCTGGGGGCGGCGTTCGGCGTCACGTTTCAATCCGACCAACAGAACGTCTGCGGCAGAAGAGGCACCGTAATCCGAAGACACTCTCACATACCAGCTCCACGAAAGTTTCACTACGAGAACTACTGCACGACAGATTTTATTCCTACATCGAGGATCTCATCGATTGCTCCACAGGTCCGAAAGCGCTCTCGGGACGAGAACAAATCGTCGGAGTCACTACCACTGCCAGCACCGGTCGCAGCGCAATTTGGTTCCCTTCGGGCCACAAAAGGTAAATAAACTGTGTCAGACACTGCTTGTGCTCCTCCGTGAGCGCTCCGTGAGCGTAGCTTGTGATTTTTGACTGTTCACGCCCAACTCACAGGTGAGAGGAGGAGGGGCCTCCTCTGTGGACCCGGAATTCGGGTCGTGCGGTCCCACGGAGCCGCGATCTGCTTCCCGCTCGATTCTACCTGAGGTCGAGATGTCGTACGGTGTCACCGGTATCGAGTCTGGAATTAGCGCGTACAGAATGTACGAGCAAGAAAGTGGACAGAACTGAGACAAGTTTAATGGTGGGAGAGTGAAGGCATTCACGCCGCTGATCTTTGCTGAAAGCTCCGGCGCGGTCGGGCGGTCTCTCACACGTCTCCGAACGTGATAATATGAGCACACATTTGTTTACAGTGAAGCCCCGGACATAACGGACACTGTGAGGTACCGGGTCTTCGGTCCCAGCCGAGCCTATGGGATCTCCCATTCAAGTGACTCGGCCCTAGTGGACCAAATAACGGACACTCGGATACAACGGATTTATTCCTCGGTACCGGTCCTTTATCAAGGATCGTGAAATCTTCGTCACAATAATTTCTGCATAATCATTCTGATGGGAGAGGGTATCGTAGGAGCATTCAATCAGCTCTTTTGATTCACTATGGGCCGCTCAAAGGAGACCATGTTCGGATAGAACGGATCTCGCATAAGACGGAGCGTCTTGGCCGGTCCCTGAGAGTCCTTACATCAGAATACATCCGAATTACACTGTACTCACGCTAGTGGACATGATGAGCGATCGTCCAGGAGAGCATGCGCTTTCAATTCAACACGCGCTACTATTTACCGTTTTCTGCGTCCCAAATACGGTCAGCCGGGAAAGACGTACGATTTTTGTCTCCACGTACTTTGAGGAGATACAAATGTGCTCAAGTATCGACGTGTGCCCATATACTGTACTTTCCGGGAACTCAAGGAATTTCTCGGATTGGAAGTTCTTGGAATTTAATCGGGATATAAGAGAGTGAGCCGCGAGAGCGGCATGTGAAAAAATAATTCCGTGCTACACGGCGACCCGGGAGTCCCTCTTCTAAAGATCGAATCCATCTGGAATAGTCTCGACAGTCGCGAGATCTCGGTCAGAGGTCACACCTCGATGGAGGCGTGGGCGTCCCCCGTAAGATTTCCGGCCGTTAACGATGAGTATCCCATACTTATATCGGCACGAGCTCCGTCCGGGTAAACAATGGGCCATTTTGGGCAATACCAGGCAATGGAATATCCATCATGACATGAGACAGAGAGATGAGAAGGTAATGATTCTGCCCGGAACCTAGCATGGCGATGATGCTCCTCTTGGAACTTGGAAAATCTGAGCACCCCAACCTAGAAGCTGCACGACCACAGAAAGTACGGATCACATCAACCGAATGGGAGAATCGGAGACCGATTGTTCGCTGGGATGGCACTCGTTAAAAGAGGCATTCCAAGATGGACTGTCGCAGCGGGAGCACCATACTGCGCTGATAACAGGGGAGCGGGAACTCTGCCGTGGGGAATCCGCGTTTCCGAATTATACTCCCAATCCCCGGGAAAGGCTGAAGTACCTTCGGAGCGTATATTTTGAAGCGTCCTCGAAATCCGTCCGCAGAAACCCAATGGCTCGATTCGTTCCGTGCTGCTGCCTCTGGAGGTGGCCGCTTCGGCAAACAGGTCACGAAGCTGGAATGAGTAAACAGCGCAAGTGTCGAAATAACCCCAAGGGACGCCTCGAGAAAGATGCGCTCCGAGCAGTACCGATCTTTTCCCGTCGGCCATTTTCACGCTCCAATGAAGGAATAGGTCGTAGTTGCTCAAGGAGGGAACGAACCCCTCATTCGACCTGACGCGCAATTTCAGACCAACGTGTCGCAATGCTCAGCCCAGCGGACACAACAGAAGTCGCAGGCGACGTTTGCACTTCTGAACTTTTCCTTGCGGAGGAGCGCCGGGTCGTGGGCGCAATTCATCAGATCTTCGCTTTCCGGTGGCTCTGTTTCTCCTCGAGCGAGCCACGGAGGCGCGTAATGAGACGGCTCGAGCTGAATTAGATTTTTTTGAAGCAATAGAGTCGGCTTGTCAATTCACTAGACGGGAGACAATGTGACAGGACTCGGAGGAGAGGTCGAACGACGTCGGAACCGCCAAGGGTTTCTGCGCGCCCCGACGCGAGGTTGCCCATCTCCCGTTCCCGACTATATCCGAATAAGGCCCGCTGTCGCCGGGAATCATTTTTGGAGTTTCGATTCAAAAACACTGGACAGCATATGCCTGCTTTGGTCATACTGATAAATGACTTTCCCCGCAGGCGATCGAGATTAATGCGATGCCTTGTAGCATGTTCGAGGGTCTATAAATCACATCACGTACGAGCACTGAGTAAACTCAAACTTTTTCAGTGAATAGCGGCGACGTTTGGAACACAGGCCACTTTGAGGGAGCACATTTTCGTTTTGGGCGAATACGCTGGCGATCCTGCGGGGAATGGACTTGGCAGAAGTCGAAAATCTTTCAGCATCTGACGGAGCAAATACGGAATCTCGATTTCGCTCTGCCCACCCGGAAGAGTGTTTGGGAGACCGGAACGAAACGATTCCGATCCTCCAGAATTGGGGAGCCCCTGTCACGAATGGCATCAACTTGATGCCATCAAAAGCACTCAGCCTCTCGTCGAGAAGGACAAACGAAAATTCGCTTTTTCGCAACTGACCCGCGTTGGATTCAACAATAAGTCTACAATGATTGTATGGAGAAAAGTGTATATTCACGTAATCGGCACGCTGTTGGCTCCCTCGGATCAACGGCCGGTCTCTGCCTCGAGTAGTTCGAGACCTCCGGGTTTCGGCGAAGTCATTGTCAGGGAGAGATTCGCTTGGATCGTGTCTGGACTGCTTCTCTGAGTTTCGGTCTTTCCGCGGACGATACCCATCTTGCGATTACGATACAGATTGCAGGGCCTGATATGAGTTGCCAGGCTACGAGGCTGAACAAATTGGCGCAGCTCCCTGAGATGTTCTCGAATGAGGGTTTCTCAGAGCCGACAGGAGCGCTCATCGGTAGGTGAAATTGTCAACATCGACATGCGGTGAGCGGTGAACGGTGATTGATTGGTGTCGTCGCCGAATCGATCGATTGATTTCTGCCTCGCCGGAGAGAACTCCTCCGCGTAGAAGACGGTCGGAAATATCATATTACACACCAAGAAAAGGGGGGGGCGGCTGGCTCAAGGAAGGCCATGACGTTTCCTCTCGATCCCGGGGTTTCGGCCGAGCCGAGACATCATTCGAGCTCTACATTAGCGAGAAAGCTTCGATATCGTACGGGATCAACTTACAGAGAGGTCAGGATTCAGGATGCTCGCGCACCGTACATTTCTCGTATCGGTCATTATAATGAAAGTGGTCGATATCTTTCGGTACAAGCGTGCGGGTGAAATCGAACCTCCTGACGACGAGCAATACGTATACTTAGCTCAAGGCCTGCCAACTTCCGCCGTGACACAGACGACCACCGATGTCAAACAGTCGATGCATAAACTCACTTCAAGTTCTACTCAATCAATGAGGTTGGCAAACAGGAGGCTACCCGATGCGACGCACTCAGGCAGCCCGTCGTAGATAATCTAATCTGCATAGAGATTCGAGGACTGCGACTCTGAAAGCCAGATTCTTCCGCATCTTCGGAGTGGAGCGATTGATCTGAACGCCAGGACGCACGAAGAGGAATCGTGGGTAGAGAAGGTCGCAATCACTGCGGTGAGTGTCGAAATGCCGAGAAGCACAATGAGTACACGTTTAATACCTAGGTAAGGATCGTGGGTTTTGGTTCGCGCTGACACATCGAAGATTACTGAATCGCTAGACGCACCAGGATCGGATCAATCTTTGGACGATTTCACTAAATGGAATTCCTGATTCGATTGACATCGCTCTCGAGTCGATCAGCTCAAATCTATGCAGCACTATCGAGCATTCCGAAGTCATTGTCGGAATGCATCATGCAGGCACTATTCATAATACTTGGACTGGCAGATGTTTAGCGCAAAAACTAACGTTTTCAGCGGCGGACCGGAAGGGGTCGAGGCGAGTCACTCGCGCCGGTCAGTCTCCTTCCAGCGGCTGGCGCTCCGGAGAACTTCATTGCGAATCAACACAGGAGGAATTGAATGCACCCATGATGATCTCAACGGCACGGCGGCGTCCACGAAGAAATCATCCAGCAGTGCTCGGAGGGAGTCCGGTGGTGTTTACGAGCGTCATGAGCCCGATCGTTCAGACGACGCGTCGTCGTTCACGGAGACGTTCTACGGAGACTACACCTTAATCTCTCCGTTCCCCGTGTTCTTCCGCGTGATACTCTTGCATTACGCGGCTTCATCTGTCGAAGGTTCTGGGAAGAAGCACAGCCAGCAGTCTGAAACTCGCGAAATTCAAGAGCGCAGAGCTCAATGAGCTATCCTCGAGTCTCTAGTCACCATTGCTGCCAACGGAAAAGCTAGATGGCGCCTTCAGCGGGAATTACATTTGGCTGTTCGAATCGGGGGCCGATAACTAATCTCGACCTTATAGCTCGACCCTGGATAGCGCTTCAGATAATGTTCCATGGATACGAGAAGCCAGCTTTCGGATTCTCCACGCTGAGAGCTTAGTACGGGGAGGTAGGCTGACCTTCATCAAATAGACGATAATAATCGGCTGCAGCTTGACGACGGAAGCCATTACAGAGTCCCTCGTCGTTCAGATAGCGCTCCAGTCTCTGAAAATCGTCGAAAAGAGCGCTACGCGGGAGACCTCTTACAGGCTCGCTGTTCCGATGCCACCGTCGATCCGACATGAGTATTCCCCTACTAGTATTTTCACCGGGGAGCCTGCGGATCATGAGGCCAAGCTCCAGATGAGACACTGTCTTAGGCTTATGCGATAGGAGGTACGCGGATGGGGGACAATTAGGAATGGAATCCTCGGATGGATGCCCACTGGACCCGGATTTTGAATACAGGCTCTCGCCAGCTGCGGAGAACATATGCCACATATCTTCATACACCTATGTACCTATCTATATGGATGAACATATATTTTTGGATACTCAGTGCATCTGACCGGTCAAAGCCGAAGGAATCTTGAACACCTAGCACACCGGATCTGGATCCGTTGGATAACCTGGTGTCGACTGGTAGCGTCAGGTCTAGCCTCCGTGTGCCGACACCCGAGGGACGCTGGACGTGACGATACGACAAAGATGAGGTTTTGGAGGCAAAGATAACTCCTATTCTGGGTTCGGAGGGTCCAGGTGGGTTGAGCTATGAAAAAAGAAAAGAAAGAAAAACATAGAAAAAAAAACGAAAACATGACTTGACGATTCGACGTTGAAAGGAAGCGGGCGTGAGGAAGATGGGGAGCAATGACCGAAGGGAACCGAAACGCAGCTGGGATTTCCGTCGGAATACAAGGTCGGAAGCCTCCACCTCAATTCCCCGATGATGGCGGACGAGCCATTAATGAGCCTCGTTGAGTGCTGCCGAAGGAATGTTTGTCATGCAAATACGTCTCGAGCTCTCGTCTTTCATGAGGGAAAAAGCATTCGTCGCGGATAACCATCTTGTCCTCGTTTGCACATGATGAACGGACGTTACGCGAGAAACTCGGCCCTAAGAGGGTTGCCATGATTCATGCTCTCCTGTGAAGTTCCCAAGGTGCCCACCACATACACCTAGTCCTATCCATCATCAATCATCAGTCCACGCTTCCACCTCTTGCTTTACGCTCCAAAGCTCCAGAAATCTTGCGTCTTTTCCGTGATGGAGTCCGTGATGCTGTGATATCGCTCTGGGTATTCCCCTCTTGTCTATAGGCTCCGTGGGAAGCCTAATTCTCTCCTGAGATCGTCCGTACACTAATCTCAAGCCGGTCAACGTTTTTGCAGCGACTCGACTTTCTTCCGGGGCGGCTTCTCGAAAAACGTCTCGCTCGAGTTCAGGCCCTCCGGCCTGGAGAGACGGGAATCGCGTAAGCATTGTTTGGAAATTCAGAAGCGGGGCGAAATTCTCGTGGGGCTATTTCGCGATTCGAGAATCTGTCATTGGATGAGAGGGCATCAGACAAGCGGGTCGTTACTCTGCCCGTGAAGGAGGCCGACCGATCGGCTTCGGAGGAGACGACATCAGGCCGAGTTTCCGCGAAAACCCGTTTCGGTGGATTCCACTTTGTCCAGTGATCGGAATTACGCGTTGCGATGGAATGTGAGCTGTACCGCAGAGGCCCAAATCGACACGTTGGCGGGACGCTCATCTGTTGTCTGACGCACAATGAACTCGTGCGCTCAAGTACCTCCCTGGAATGCAATAACTCGCGAATGGAGGTGACGGAAACCTCATTTTCAAGTTTCGAAGAAGTTTTGATTAATCTCCGTCTCCATGTATCGGGATCGAGAGGTAAGCAGAGCCTACTAAGAGTTTTCGGGCGCTGTACCGCCCCGAAACTTCATCGAGAGCCCAAGTATTCACTGTTCTGAAGACGTGGTTCTCGAGCTAGAAATATCCACGAGGAAAACCCCCTCAGTCACTCTTGATCCGAAAACGGTGCTCGACGAGACGTCAGTTTTTTCTCCGGACCGAGAATTTTTTTTCCGGGCTTCGCGTAGCAAAAGCAGCAAATCAGGGAATGACGCTCCAAAGCTCCCGAAATCTCCCCTGCCATAACAAAATGAAGCCTGTCCCCCGGCACCTAGTAGATGATGGATTCTCCTCCTTGGAATCACTTTGTGGAGTACAGGTTTCCGCGAAAACTCACAAATACGCTGATCCCACCGACCACCTTTGGGTCGGAATCGACTGGGGCGGAAGGCACCGATTGCTTGAGCTCAATCTCCCAGGCTTCGTATCCACCGCGTTGCTATCTAACTTCCTCTCTCCCTGAAACGTCGAGCTCGTTCGTGCCTCGCGGCAGGTTGGGCCATGCTCCCGTAACCGATCTCGAAAACATTTAATCATCGCGGTCCTATTCAGTCGAGCGTGAGAGAGAACCGTGAATTCCTGCTCGCGTTCGATTCGTCATCGATTCTTCAAGGCAGTCGCCGGAACTAATCTCCGGAGAGTTGCCGATGCCGCTTCCGGCAAGCCGAAAAAATTCGGGGCTGAAATAGGGACTCGAGGCGATTCGAGGGCTATCTCCCGGGTTTTGTTCCTCACAAGGGATTCCATCTTACTGTTGGATTGACCCAAAGAATCACCGTCCAGGTCTCGAAACACCGCTCGGATCTGCAAGCGTACTTATCCATGCGTCCGCGGGTTTCTCAACTGATTCGGATATTCCTTCGCTATAGAGAGGCTCTCACTGATCTGTCGAAATAGGTATCTGGGATCGCCAATCAAACGGATCCCTGACCGGGGGAAGAGCTCGGTCACCATGAGCACTAAGCAAGCCCCGCGCTCGATTGCTGTTCTCTGATATGCGTTGGTACACACATATTACGCCCCTGTGAGGTGTGAGCTCGACTGCTAGCTGTTCTGCTTCATCTTGGAAGCACTGATGTGGTGGTCATGATTTGTGTTCTGTCTGGTTTTCGCTTGCAAATCGTTGTTGATGCCACAGCTTGTACGCCGTCGGATCCATCTGTCATCACGGAGGCAATGCTATTGTCTGCTGCACGCTATAATTACCTGCGCCCTCCATTCCGCTTTCCGCACAGCTTCCTCAAAGGGGGGATCTTCGGCAACTCTTTTAGACTTTCACATCGGACGGTATCTCCTGAATATCCCTGGAAGTCGTAGCACAGAGGAGGATGTACATCGGAGCAAATCGGAAGGAAAAAGCCTTCACGATGAGAATATTTTGATTTTGCTCGGGGAATATACATACAATATACATATCTCGCCCAAGAATATTTGGATTCCGCGGGTTCGGGCAACTCATGTCTAGGCGGGGCTATTTCCTCGTGCTCGAGAGAAGCTCATGCGGATTTCATCGTTCGATAAGGCGGTGGGGTGGCGAGAACTACGATGAGGATTTTTCGTCTTCAAACAATGTATGGAAATTGATTCGATTTCTCCATCGCGGTGTTCGATATTCAGTACGGAGGGTCGGTGGGCATCGTGCAACCGGTCGAGTCATGCCTACGAGCTCTTCCCGCCGCCAGAGTCGAGGACTAATGAAGAATGTCTGTCTACGGGCTCATGCCCGGTAGCTCCGAGACGTACCCGTGCACGGAAGCGAGGGGCTTCATCATACGTGAGCTCTCTCATCTAAGGGATCTAATATACAGTCCTGGGAACTCTACGGCATTTTTCCGGAATCGGAAGTGCTTTAATGAGAAAGCACGTCAAGCGGGCCACCCCCTCCGAATCATTTATTTCCACATTATTCGACACAGATGCTTCCATATAAAACAGATCCCGGACGGATGAATATGGGTCTCCAAGTCTCGGCATTGGGGGTACCAGAGGTTCTTCTCGTCCATGGAGCTTCTCCGGTCGCAAAGCCGCCCGGAGAAAAGGTATGAGCGGTATATACATTACTTCTTCGACACAGTTTACAATTTACATGCGCGGAATTATACAGAGAGGGAAGAGGAACGATGGTGCTTAATGGCTACCGTCGGTCATGATAGTTGAGCGGAGCATCGTCGCTCCAATTGTACTGCGTCTGGTGTCCGGTCTCCCGTGATGATCCGATCTGATATTATCCTCTTTGAGTTCAGAGCAACTTTCCGAGCGCTCGCTCGTAGCGTGAGATTCGCTTGCCCGAAAAGATTCCGCTTGAGGGCGTGACAGAGATCGACGGAGAGTGGGGTCCAAGCACAAAGTTCAGCGTGGCGCCCTTGGAGAGTCGGTTTCTCTCACTCCTATACAGATGCGGATGATATCATTCATCCATTTCGGGGCTGGTTATACTCTGCGAATCATCACTCCTCGGGAAAAGTCCGCGGTAAGCCATCGAGGGCCCTGATGTCCGATTCACAGAGATAAATGTGAAACTGGAGTGGGAGTCGACGAAGACATTGACGAAGTTCCCTTAGCTCGCCTCCTATGTGGGGAGTCCGCCTGCTCTGCTATAGGCAGATTCAAATCTTTTTCGGATCGTGGTCCCCCTTGTGGGACGGGCAGCAAACTTCAGTTTCAGCGGTCGGACACATTTTCTTGTGGTGGCCTCGATTGAACTGTGTGCGTAGACGAACCGAAGCTTGGGAGCTCTCGAAGGCGTTTTGCCGGCCGGAGAAAAGGGCTCTGAAGCCCCTCCTGTATCTGCAAGGGAGGGGAATCGTAGGTCCAAAGAATATGGTTGAGCAGCAAGTCGGGAACTTGCCCGAATCCGGAGCGGATCAAGTAAAACTCTGTTCCGAGTAATTCATTCCTCTAGAAGTATCGAGAGCGGAGGAATCGCGCGCGTATGTGCGCAAATGGAACATCCCGGGTGAAAATTTAACTCAGAACGATGTATGTGATGAGTGATGAGAATCCCCTCTCCGGAACGCCAGAGAAGAATTTCGATAAATCTCGTCAAAGCATTCGAATGAATGTGCGTCGAGCTTTTGATCGATCATCTCCCGAGAGGCGAAATCCCCATTGTCAATGCTCCTCAAAATGATGAATTCTTCAGAGTTGACGCAGTATTTATGTGAATCCTGATACTATATGTACATGTACATCCTACATGTACATCCTCGGCGAAGCCCTGAGAGCTCGAGCGAGAACATCGATCGGGACACCGAGCGAGCCCCCGCATCCTCCGAGGATCGATTCGAGGAACAAAAACCGAGATCCCATTTGAGATGACTTACTCACCTTTTATTGAACAAGCCGTAGAGGATCGGATTGATGCAAGAATTCGTCATCCCAAGCCATTGTGAGAACGAGAAGGCTATCTGAAGCATGGCAGCGACCTGGAAGTTTGGCGGAGTTAGAGATCGCGTTTGATTCAATATATTATACATTTACAGTCAACTTAGTTAGACTGCACTGAAGCACAGGGCGGGGCTTCAATTCGCGAGACCGAATAGAGCCTGGACTACAAGGCAATACACAGAAGTCGCATTCCTATGAAGGACCCATCGCGGCATGGAGGAATAGCGAAGGATTCGAGGAATCGAAAGGCATCAGCGCTTGACAGATCGCTAGAGATGATTACGCGGTCGCAGCGACTGTCGGGCCATCCGTTAACATCGAAGGATGCCAGTTCCGCTTGCGAAGCTGACATACACGTCGTAAAAGCCATGATTCGAACGGTTTTTTGTGATAAATGACTCGCGGCATATTCGGCTCGGAGATTTCCTGCGCGGGGACTCAGAAAAAGTTTTTCCCTAGGAAAACACCCATCAGCGGCCGATCGACAGCATCCAACAGAGAGCTCCCCCCTCGGTAGGAATCGATTCCGTAGCTCATCGTATCTTTCGTTCCTCCCGGGCGAGGAACGATTTTGGAGATCTTGTGGAATGTCTGTACGTATGTACTTCCCATCACCGACTCCCTCAAAGATGTCGGCCAGACAAATGCGATGTTTCTCGTATCTGATAGACGGCACTGATTCCGCTGAAACTCATTGCCTCGACAGCAACGCTCCAGCAAGCCTCACGCTAAACGCGAGATCAAAAACCAGATCAAAGCTATCCATGCTTTCGGAAATCCCTTGCGGGGAATTCAAATATTCGGGTTCTGCTGGAGCGCGCATACCGCAGCGCCTTCGTGTGGCCGCGAACAAACCTCTGAATTCTCTCCCCACTCTGACTAACCTTCTGATTACTTGGAGATCCACAGAATAAAAAATAGGCGTGTATTGCATACAAGGGACCCCAAGACACGAAGAACGTAGAAACAACGCCCAGCATCATTCGGACGACCTTGAGCTTTGACCGTTGCATCAGTTGCTCCTGAAAATAAAATCAATCCTCGGATGTGACTCGGTCTCGTCGAAGGAGGGTGGAGCTGAAGCTGGCTGGACAGATGTGGATTTACCTTGTTGTGATCGAAAGATGTCTTTGTCAACGTCTCACCGGGGATAGCTCGGCGCCAGACTGTCAGATAGATAAGTAAATAACTGGCCGTTATCACAAAAAGTGGGAGGAAATAGCATCCGGCGAATAGAACCACCGAGCTGAAGATGATCCTGAACTCCTGTGGACGATGAAGCAATTTCAATAACACCGACAAGAGTTAGATGGATGTGATAATATTGAATGCGGTCGAAGAGGATCCTGAGGATAGCGAACGTACTTCTGAGGGGAAGTTGTCCACGCAGCTGGTCAACTCTGAATTCCCGTATCTCTCTAAGCCTTGATAGATGAGGATAGGAGACATTATGGCCAAGGAGACGGTCCAAATGAGGGCGACAACCTTCCAAACTCCATACTGAGGCATCTGCCTCCTCAGGGAACCTGAGCAAATCGCAACACACCTGGGAGAATTGCATCTTTATAAGTACCAGTAATCGTCCAATCAGGAGAGGTCGGTTGTGCCACGAGACTCCGATCGTGCGTGACGATTCTCTTCCCATTCGGCATCGTTACCTTTTCCCAGAGGGAATCGTTCACGTTGATATATCGGATGTGGCCACATCATTATCGGAGAAAATCTCGCTGAATAATAATTTTTCGCCTCCCGTTGAAAAACCACTGGCCTTTCTGATTTCTCTCTCGATTCCCGGAAACTCTCCCGACTCGAAAATTGCTCCGGAAGCTCCCGAAGAGGCTCTCATTTGTCCGGAAAACGAGGCGACGGAAGTTCTGCTCAGCATAGAATGCAGTCATCTCTGGTTGGCTCGTATGCCTACTCAATCCGCCATTGTTGCCCAGCGCCGGCGCAGTCGACGAGAATCACTTTCTCTTCACAGTCCTCGTCGAGGGAGCTCCCAGTAGCTCCGAGACTCCATCGGAGAAAGGCCAGAACAAAGACGGTCGGAGCAATTAATTCACCGAACATGCGATGATAAATTGTATTCTGAGCTTGAATGTCTGGATGGATCTTGACTCTCACGCACGATTACCGGGGCCCAGAGATGTACGCGTACGATGCGGGGTGGTTGAGATGTTGCACAAAATGATAGTTGGTCTAGGGGAGGCTATGCTTGTGTTCTAGCTCGTTAGATCGCACGCTCGACCAGCAGCGCTCGCCGGGGACCGCGGGAGCCAATGCCGCCCAAGGATGCCGCGGTAGGCAATGATCACTCACGAAGAAGAAGTGAGACGCACTATCCCACTCGCTCCTCGCAGCTCGACAGCACGGTATCCGCGAACGCTCCGTCAGTGGAACGACAGGTCAACGGGAGGAATGAGACGATGTGACATGATCCTGCGCTTTTCGAGCCGGTGGTCGCACGAAATCCCGGTTTCTGAGGCGGTCCCACGTGTGCCGCCGCTCTCAGTCTGCGGACACCGCCGATACAGCCCAGGACCGCCCGAGTTCGTACGCTGTGTTTCGTTTAGCGATAGTCGATTACTGCCGTACCATTATTTGTGTGTATGTCTCTCTCGTGGTAATGCTGTTGCGTGTGCTAATCCCGCGGAGTAATGGTAGAAGTGTGCTCTATCGGTCTCCCTCGACAACAAGAACCAGGAATCCACTGGATTCGTATTACCTACCCATATCCCCCCCTCAAATCAAGGTACTGAGGCGATTGCCTACGTCATCGCTCTTAGCTCATTCGAGACTGCAGAGACGGATATTTAGGAATAATAATTCATAGGACCTTCACCATGCGTAGGATTCTGAGCCACATTGTGACAGAACTCCTCCCGTGGTCAGGCACGGGTCGTGCAAGACTGGTCGTAAGCTTATATAACTTTGGAGTTATCGGATCCCCTTGATTTTCTCTCGTGAGTACACTCGACCACGTTGAAGAATCCTGAGCCCTCCGATGGGCCGCTTCCTTTACCATGCGGACGAAGGCGGATTCAGTCCCTGTCACGTTCACGCCTTGCCGACGCCTGCGCCTTATGTAGCGAACTTTTTCCAGAGAGAATTTGATAATAGGTTTCCCGCTGAGCTCCGGAACCTGGTCGAGGATGGATATAGTGTGAGCCCTGTTCCCTGTTTCCCCGGTGATCGGTGATGGGGAGTTTTTTGGAGGAAAAAACTAGCTCGGAGAGCTCACTGCCAGGAGCTGATTTCATGCTAAAGTGCTGCGGGTAAGCCTGGAACGGAATCCCTCCGTCTGTCCACGCTCTCCGGGAGCGGCCTAATTGAACTAATGTCCCCTGACTTTCTAATCGTTTGACCGGAAGTTGAAGCATCGCAGAACAGGGCCGAATCAAATTTTTCATGTAGAATTATTCAAAGCACTTCTCCGTTCTGATGAATTGTCCCGTGCGGGGGACACTCCGAAATAGCTTGTCCGGATGCGTGACAGGAACTGATGTGAAAACATCCATCCAGCCTTGAGGAAAAGTATAGAGTATCTCTGAACTCCCCAGAGGGAGGAGAAAGGCGATGTCCGAAGGAATCTTCGGACCCGACGAACATCTCAAGCCACCATGAGGTATCGAAATTATGGAATACTTTTGTCATGCTTGACATCTCTTTCCCGCTGTGCAGTTATAGGAAATCGTTGAACGAGAAAGAAAGAAAGGAAGAATACCCTATGTCCTATGGGAAGCTGTTCGACTTGAATGAATGAATTAACTTTGGATTTATTATCAGAGAATTGACTTAATTTAAATTGAGAGTTCGGAGAAGGCTAGCCACCCAGGAAACCAAGTTCCCCGAGGGCCCCCGACTGGAAGACTCCTCCCGCGATGAGTCTCGCGTTGCCTCGCTGTACCTCGATGGCGATTCGTTGTCGAATGAAAACGATCGCTCGAGGATTCCCGTCTCTGCACTCGATTCTCCTTCCAATTTCCTTCACGAACTTGAGGGCGTCGCCTCCCCTTACACCCGTGGACTCAATCACGAAAGGAATCATCAAGAACTCGCCGCGGAGCGACTCATACTTGGCCCGTTTGTCCTGCTCTCCTCTGGACGCCACCGCTCGCACGTTGCGAGCGACGAATGAATGAATGAATGAATGACACCTTTATTGTTAACAAACGAAAAGGGGGGGGTGTTTTTAGCTAGACTGTCTGTGCGTTGGTTTGGCATGTAGCTTCCTCGCTATACGCCAAGCAAATTGGTGATTTACACGTTCGGTTCGAGCAATGGCTTTGGCTAGGATGGTGATTTCACTCCGGAGAGGGTTCGGAGATTGATTCAGAAAGTGGCCTAGTAAGTTGGCACGTTTGAGTAATACTTCATCGATACTATCGATTATAATTATTATTAGCTTACCGCATGGTTCCTCTCTCGCGGGAGGGCCTGGCGGGGTATCCGCGAAAGGATATTCCTCGCCGCCCATCATCGTCCCCGCAGTAGCCTCGCAGCGAACAAGCGACTTTGTCCGCCCAAGTTTCGAGGGACTATCGATTGCTCCTTATGTTCGCATAGCACCGCTGATGCGGGACGTAGCGAGCGACGCGCAATCAGAGACACTCGAACGAAGACGCACAGCGTTTCGGAAGGAGCACACGTCTCCGGAAGGGATGCCTCCAGGAAACGTCTCAATCATTCCGTGTCATCGAACGATGAACTGGGACAACAAGGAGCGAACGATCGCCTTCCGAACTTGCGCAAGGCGCAAAAAATGCTCGAGGATGCAAATGCGCGGAGAGTCGAGAGAATCACATTCCTCTGTGCCAACGAGGGAACTCGGCCACGACGGAACCGACAGGCTCTCAACAGTTCTCATGGCAACAGCAGTGGGAGACGTGATCACGCCGACGTGCGACGCAGATTCTCAGACCACATATTTTCGGAGAGGTTTCGGGAGACAATTATTTCCGAGAGAAGATTCTTTGTTTTGTGAAATTGCTCGCTCGCGAATGGACGGAATTCTAGACCGATGCCGTAGTTCCTGATCCGAACGCAAAACGACGGCTCTCGCGCATCGGCTCGGATCTGTCTTCATTCGGTTCTTGAAGATGACCGCTTGGATATCTTCATTATCTCCCTCACGACGACGATTGCCGAGCGTTTGAACGAAGATGCTTTGTGGAATTCGAAGAGGTTGAAAAAGTGATGCAGTGCTTCCGGAAATGCGATCCGTTCTTTCTCGGACAGTGGAATATCCGTCGTGGTTGCGCCATCCAGCGATCGCTCCAACTCCCTAACAATCGCTCGAACGTTCCAACGCCGGCGTCGCGAAATCGAGTTTCAGAAATCGAGGCAACGACAGGCTGAAAGTATTGACTGACGTCTTTGGAAGAAAAAAACTCGAACTCCTTCCCGCTCCCAAGATTGCACTCGATCGAGCTCGAAGGGTATTGCGCGTGTATATCGGAAGGGTAGGCTCGTTATCGCGGAAACTCTACCTGCGATTGAATGATATTCACACTTGTCTTCAGTCGATCAATCATACGCGGAGTCTAAATGAAAGCTGTAGCATTAGTGATTTCCAGCGTGCATGGTCCAGCAGCCTCAGCTCTGCAAACGATGAGCCTCGATCGACGACACCACTAATGGATTGCCCACTCGGAACACACCGAGCGAATCGTAGGTACCTGCATGAGTACTAAAAGAAGCTCGTTCAGCGGTCTAGTGATGTGTCGAAAAACTTCCAGGAGACCGCGCAGCTGCAATCGCAGAATCCCGTACGGCGCATACGTCATCGGTCGAGCGCTCTCTCTCGACAGGCTATCACCTCGCGCGACACTTCTTGTGATCGTGAGATGTTCCGATGCTGCGGCTATGAAGATTGATACTATGCTCCGCGGATCTCGTGATTCCAAACGGAGATCGTTGCGTGGGGGGGGAACATCACCGGAGGACGCCAGATGACGCAGGAATATCCCCTTAGGATTCGAGAGCTGGAGAATAAGCCTCGGGAACTCGCATGATCAGCTCGCTCCCCAGGTCTCCCCATACAGACGAGATTAGCCCCTCCCCCCAAAAGAAAACCCCGCCCCGCCCGGAATCAGTGGAAAACCTGAACGTGCATGTTCTACGAGGGGAGCAGGCATCCGTGTACTCCAACCGGGCCTCTGTGATCAATGATCAAGATTACAAATCAATCAACCGAGAATACTGGGGAGAGAGAGTGTCACCGGAGAGAAGCAATACGAGGATAGGGTGGGAAAACTCAAGGCATCCGTGATTTCAAAATCCCTCGACCCTGCAAGTCGAATGGAGAGGCACTCTGACTGCTTCCTACCGTCAGAGGGAGATTAGTGATTCATCAGACAGCCTGTGTCGGATGGGAGCTATATCGGCTTTTTACGCGCGAAATTCATCTTCCATCCAATTTCTGTCCGGTGGAACAATAATCGAGGCTCCCAGAAGGGGCAGATCGAAGTCTCGTTCAGCTCGAATGGTCTATCCAAGGACTTCTCCTCCAAGCAACCGAGCTCTGCGACGTCAAGCCGGAAAACTCACGTATACTCACACCCGACGCACGTCTCAAGGTCCCAAACAGGGGTCTGGCGACCGTCTCTTTCGCAGCTGGATGAGCTAACGATTTCGGAGCAACAGAGCGGAGTGAGCAGAACCGTAAACGGCGGACTTAGCGGACAGGTTGTTTCGTGGAGAGCTCACTTTCATCGTGAGGGCTTTCTTTATGTGAGTTATTTCACTCTAGGGACATATGGTAGAGGCGTGTTGCTTCACATTGATGAACTTTCAGGCGCTTACGCAGTAAAAGACCACAGGCCGGGCCTGTCTGCGCCCTCCCGAGCTCCTCTCCTCTTTCACGACCCCCTTATTGCCTTTCGACCCCAAAGTTCTGCTCGTCAGCCATCGGAAATTTCATTCGGCGCGGGGGCGTGTCGGCTCGCGTCGCCAACCGAGATCATCATCATCATCATCATTCTGGGGCTATCTCTGCTATTCCGAGATTTTCCCCTTGAGATCGAGCCTGAGCGGAGCCTCAGCGAGCTTCGTGGAGGCCAGTCCGAATCGATGTGTGACTCAATGTGCGAGATACCATCATTCATCATTTGACAATCATCGAGACCTCGCTCCTTTCGAGTTGAACCTCATGCGGCTTTTCGGCATGCCTAATGGGACGGCGACGATAGATTTCTCATTGAGGGATGTTCGTTCGTAACACAATGGGTCTAATCTAATGGGTCTTAGACTAAACCTGTCAGCCACTTGGTAGGCCGAGAGCGCAGAGATCGCTTCCCTTCCCCGAAAAGAGTCCTGCATCAAGCCGCTGGACTGGGCTTCGCTACTACGTCAGGGAGTCTTCCGTGATGAGTGCGACGGATCGCTGATGCTTGCCGCGAGCAAGAGTACGGCGGTCTGTTACCTTGAGCGGGTGTTATAACCCTCCGAGACTGCAGGGGACCCGAGTATACACGTAGACAGATAGGCATTGGAGTACTCTGCCGCCTGAATTTTTCTAGAGGGGACCGCTTGCGAGCAACGCTAGCGTGAACGTATACTCACCGGTCAACCGAAATCGCCACCAGTGTTTGGATGGAAGCGGAAACAGTGACGGCTTGAAGGTAAGAAGTCACCTTACATGCCCATAATCCGAGCTTCCAAGCTGAAAGAGAAAATATTTTACAAGGAAACCATCGATTTCCGGTGCTAGCCGCACGGTGGCGTGTCGACGATTCGCCTCCTGGCGGAGGGGAATCTCGGTGTAGGAGGGCAAAGTCGAGAATTCAGAATAAATCCGAGCCTTCCCAAAACCTATCCCACAACCCAGCCTTCCCAACCCAGACCGGTATGCATTTATACTTGAACATGGGGAGTGAATTCAGGCGAACCCCTGACCTTGATGGAGTGATAATAATGGAAATAAGGAGCTACATATGTTTACAGCCTCAAAGTGAGAGCTTCTGTCTGTGAAAAAGTTCAACTCGACAATGAGTGAACATTCTCGATCCGAGAGATGGGCCCATGAGAAAGGCGGAGGAGGACTGGACCCGAGGGACTCGCGACCCGCAAATGTGTTTGTTCACCATTCACCGACCGGACGTGATGATGGCCCATCTCTGACTGGGGCCTTGAAGCTGTTCTCGCTATGCAACGACATGAGACAGAAGATTCGGGCTGACGGCTGGCTTTACAGCGCCTATTTTCCGCCGGGCGCATGACCCGCGCCGAGATCTCGGGCTTTCGCCGTTTTCTAGAATTTCGCTCCAATTGATCGAGATCGAGATCGCATCATTGAGACGTCGACAGGGGATACTCCGCCATCCTCTGCTTCCTCCGCGATCCTTCAGATGGGATCAACACGGAGTCCGAGACTTTTTGTATCGAGCAGATAGTCGGATCCCTGGCCAAGAGGAACCGCTTCATGCTCACCACGAGGTCTCTCATGCCCCATGGAATAGGACATTTGCGTCAACACGATTCGAGCCCCAATGATGGATCCTCTCCCAACTTGCTTCCCAAGAGAGTTTCTTGGGCGAGCTCGATATACGGCTCCTGGAGAGTTGCTTCCCTCAAGGCATTGACCAATGTTTCCCAGCAGGGTGTCATGCATTCTCCGAGTCACGGATTCCTCTGAGGATCTGTCTCGTTGCGGAGTTCCTTGCTCGGCGATAGATGCGCGCGGCTCTCGTGATTCCCACAGAGATCCTCGATCTTCCCTACGAGCTGGAAACCAGCCGAAAACTTGGTCTACGTGACCTCATCAGGCTTCTGATGCGGGTTTCTCACAGCCGGAGATTCGACGACGACTGAATTCGCACGCCGTTCCTTCCAGCGAACCCGGAGTTACGTTCTGCTCAGACGAGTTGGAGCGAAACATTCATTTCCGAGTATCGCCATCATTCAATAATCAGAAATCCTTTATAGCGAAGGTTCCTTCTGTGCGCTTGACAGAATCGACTGTGCCTAATGCTCGAGTCCAGAGAGAGCATCTTTGTTTTCTACGGTCCCGGAGCACAAGGACGCTACTACGTCGAATATTTCCGTCATCGCATGATTTCCGCCAACATCTCAGAGGGAAGCCTTATCGATCACGGTTTTCCGCGAGGTGAGAAAGGCGCGAAACGATGTCAAGGGCGACTCATCGAGAATTCGAGTGCTTTACGATCTAGCAATGCACGTACTGGTCTCGACGGAGCAATTCTCCCGCTGCAGAGCGCGAAATGTCTCAGGAGCACGCGATGATGATTCGATCGAATAAGACGCTTGGAAATCCGGAAGAAGCCACTACGGCTTCCCCTCTCCGACAGGAGCAGAACCGACTTGTAGCGTGCCCAGACGTCTCGGATCATTAGTGGCCGTTTTTATCGAGTCTCCGAAGTCCGGCTCTTCCACGGTGCGCGGGAATGCTATGGGTTGGGGTTCTCGGAAATTCGACATCGATTTTCTCATCGTACCATCGGGCAAAGCACGGTTGTCTCTTGGAAATGATCAAAGCCTCTGGAATAATTGAGTGGGCAGCCCAGTGATTCTGATGGCGGCGTTTTTGGAGCCGCCGTCCGAAACAGGCTGCTTGGATTCTTATTGTTCATCAATCAGTCCCATTTCATTTTCTAGCGCTTGTCTAGCTGCCCACCCGGCAGCAGCCCAGGATCGGAGTTGGAATTGAATCCATCTTCCCTCACAAATTGGTTCTCTAACTCGAAGATGCTGTCGACTTCCCAGTCGGGACTAGAGGAACTCGAACTCAAAGCTTTGGGAACTGCTTGTCGGCCCTAATTCCGCTTTTCGACATCGTAGATCTGCAGTTTCCCATTGCTGCTCATCGGCTGTCACAAGTAGCTGTGTGCAGTCGTTCCGAAAGTCATCGGTGCTCGGTGCACAGCCGGTGTTGAAATCTCTGGAGAACACGTGGTGCATCTGAAGGCTGTCCCGAAAAGTTCGTAAATTGGTCGGCGGCGATTCTCGAGTCTTTCCGCGACCGGTTTCTAATCCGCACTATGTCTTGGCAAGAGCGATTCTGCGCCCCGACAGTGTTGGGTCCCAAGGAGCGTGCTCGAATTGCGGTCGAAACGCCATCCTCCGTGACAATTTTCTCAAATTACTTCAACTTGTCGATGGCGGCGTCCGACGTTCCTGCCCAGAGCTGACTGAGATCATTTTCGAAATGTACGGGAGCCAGGCACAGATTCGAAGATCCCCACCCGGGAGCGGCAAAGTATTCTCTTCTGCACATGATGGAGATTTTCGCAATAGAGACACAATGTTCAGATCAGAAACCGACGACGGACTAGATTTGGTTAACTCCTCGCGATACCGACGGGTGGTCGAGTGGTTAGCGCGTTTGTCACTTCTCGTGCAAACGTGCGTTTCACTTCGTGAAATGCCGCAACGACGCCGCTCGCGCGGGAGGCGGTGTGGGTTCGATCCCTGCTGCCGGAAGAATATTCCTTACGGAAACGCAGGTACTCGGCCTTGATCCGCCTGGGTACATTTGCTCTATGGATCCGTCCTCGGAAGCAATGTGAATAACAGTACCCGGGACGTTAAACCTTGGCTGTGTGGATCAGCCCGAAAAAGTGAACTCCTCGCGATGTGGGAGGAGAAGCGACTCCTTCCCTGATCTGCCCCGCCGACAATGCGCGCAGTGAACGAGTCAGTTAATTTGAGATGTAGAGAGAACCCCAATTATATCTAGCTGGGCTTCCTAGCCGGGAGTGAAGCGGTAGTCCTCCCGGCGTCGGGTACCACGCCGCGTTGTCGTCCACGGAAGGGAGACAAACTCGAATCGAATATCGAGTTGGAGGCTTCGTTCCGGTGCGGCGCGGCGTTGTTCTGAAAAACGACACCTGCGATTCGGGGGGAAACGCGCATGTGAACTACATGTAAAATTGATGACCGCTCGCCTCGATCTATCTTGGATAGCGGTCGTTTTTCGCTCCCAGCTCGGCGATCCTATACAAGGTTATGCTTTCCTTTGGAAAAGGCCATCAGAATCTCACAAGTATATTTTCGCCGTCTTCAATCCGGGTTTACGAAGATGAGTATGTTTTTCGAAAGTCCTCAACCTGACCAAGAAATGGAGCGAGAAATCAGCGTCGGTCAGCTTAGGGTTCGCGAACAACCGAATTTTGAATTTTCGCCACGCCATATCCGAGGACTTGCAGACCGATTGCACATCGTAATTTGCACATCGTGTGATATGAATGTATAACCAGCTGGTATATGCGCGGAGAGGCGAATTAGGATCGCAATATTCATGCTACACGGTCCAGACCCCCCGAATTCTCCACATCCATTCCTGAGCGGAAGAATATAAGTCGGGGTGTATTTGAAAAAAATCCGAAATTCGATTATTCGCGAACTACAAGTTGACTGACGCTAGTACTCCATTAGTCAGGCCCGGGACTCTCAGGAAACCTGCTCATTGCCATAAGCACGCATTGAAGAAGCAAATGTTCTTCGTCAGAGGTGTAGCCTCCTCCCAGGTCGGTATCATTGGGAACTTGGCCATGCTACAGCGACAACTGGACGGATCCGCGTTTACATCGTCTGGCAAGCGAGCGCGCAAAAAGACCGCCGGAAGACGGTGTTGAACGAGTCCAACTGCTTCGCGGAACCCCCCTCGATGGAATCACACGGTTTTCAGCGCCGAACAGGCTGTCGGCCGAGCGCCATGCCAATTCAGACCTCTCTCTCGCCCTGGCCCGGACGCTCTGCTTGGAGGAGGCTGATCCTTAGAAGCCGCGGCTCCGCATAGGGTCTTCGCTCGCTCTCGACTCGGTTTTCGCAGCCGTCGATGAGGAATTCAGAGTATCAGGACCTCGGTTCTCCGTCAGCGTCATCCCCCCGAGTGCCGCGTTGCTAGACGAGCCTCGCACGCGCTTCCGCATTGAAGGATACCCTACCGGCCCCTATCTGCCGTGAATGAGCCCGCAATCTCCGATTGTCACGACCCACGTACACGGAGGCGGTCGAAGACCTCAGCGTTTTGGGAGCAGGGAGCTCCCGCGCCAGCAAATGTCAATAAAAACGAGTCTGCAAGTGATGCGCAGACTGCTCTGACCACTCGGCTATGTGTCGATAAATGATGCCCTGGAATCGAACGATACTCGAAGATTCCGCGAAGCTGCAGATCGTCGGCGCGCTCGCTTCCTTGAATCATGATCCAATGACGATTGAAAGCGATCAAGAGCGAAGACTCCGGGTGTCCGTTCTCCGGCGCGAATCGAGCAGAATACAGCCGAGCCCCGATTCACCAACGTCCCGATATACGAACTTTCAATCCACGAACTCTTCTTCCAGGCGTATTTGCCTCGACCTACGGACCAGGAATCGCGTTGCGAATGATATTTCGGGCGATTCACTCCGACTTATGATCATGGACTCAATTCGCGAAGGATTTTTCCAGGGGTCTCTCTCCACACATCGTGAGATCGACGCATTGACCGCAAGCTTCGCCCCCGATCACGTGACTGAACACTACGCTGCATTATTAACCGTATTGAATATAAATTGTGTTCGGGAAAATTCGACCTCGGTGGTCGTCTTTCATTGTTTGCAACGCATTATTCCCTCCCACATCCACATACATAGAATCCTACGGGGAATAATGATTCGATTTACGAGCTCTCCGATTTATGAGCCGTCGCCTGGCACGAATTAAGTTCGTAAGTCGCGGTTCGACTGTATTCTCTTCTCAAGGTCTGCGGGAAACAAGACCGATCTATGCCGGGTATTCAAGGGCGCACCCGGGCCGAGCGAACGCCTGAGTAATGGGGACAAATGCGTTTGGGGTCCTTACCGGACAGGCCCGGATTTTCCAAGAATCAAACCGACCTCTTATCGATTCGAATGTCCCCAGAGCGTCGGCAGCGTCAGCGTTTTCTCTAGCCATCGTTTCCGAACTTTCTCCGCCAGATATTCCGGTGACAACACACAGTGAAGCCAAGACTGAAATCAGGCAGAAAGCTCGGTCTCCGTCGATTCGTTCTGACACGATCCAGGCCCGTCGTGTCATTGTCATTCAGCGAGACACGTTCAAGAAACGAAAACTATGAAGAATCTGGTCGGAGTGCGCTGCCGCGCGTTTCCGGCCCGTGTTTCCCTGTGCGAGACAAACATACGAGTGCACGGACATGAGTCTGCAGCTCACGTATCCGACAAATCCAAGTAGGCTCCGTCTTACGAAGAAAAGCTCTGGATTCCGGTAAACCCCGAGTGGAGAATTCAACTGAGAGCGACGAGCCTCCCGAGAGATTTCTGGTGAAGTCGTCACGAGCACGGAAGCGGTTTTCTAGGACGTCCGATGTGTTATTGCACGGGATGATCCTTAGATCGGCTTGCGATCGTACACAGGACATCCCCAGTCTTGAGAGCATCCTAAATCGTTAAAGTCCCTCAACCCCCCTCGAGGGATCAGAGGCGATTTCATGAGTTATCCGGGAAACCCGATATCCATTCAACTCCACAAGGAAATCGCAACCTCCTCCGAAAATATTCTTGGATCCATCATTCTTCCCTGCGATAAAGCCATAGAGAGTCCGTAGCTTCCGGACAAACTACAGCGACTCGGATCAGGGAGTGCCGAGCTGTTCCAGAGCCCCCAGAATCCGAACTCTCTTCTTCAAGGGCGGCGGAAGCAGACATAAGTCATTTTGTATCTTCCATGCCAATACGGCCTAGGCTGCCAGACTCTTCCCTCGGTTCCCTCTTCGATTCACGAGAGCTCCAAATTGACCTTTCGAAACCCGATTCGACCCTGGTCTGGACGCTCCAGCGCTTGCCTTACCGCGGGTGATTCCGTATATTCACCGCGTTGGAGGGCAGAACAAAAGCCGGCGACCGAGGATTCTGGTCCGAGATCGGCAAGTGAAAAATCGCCTCTCGATGGAGACTGAAGGCGGAAGTCTATTTATCGAGACATGCCACAACGGCTCCTAACAGACGCCCAGACAAAACCCGAGAGCAGGCTGATACGATGGACCTTTGGTGGGCTCCGCATCGCTAGCTATTTCATGATCCGATAGCAGCTCGGGCTCGAAAATCATCGAGGGCCAACCAAATATGTCCTTTCATGCCTCAGCACCAGGACGCTTGAATATACTGCAGCCGATCGCTCGATCCGTTCAACGACGGAGTCTTTTGAACCTCGATGTAACCTAATGGAGCTCACACAATAGTCGCTCACAGGCGAATTCATTTTCTCCGGATGATGGACTCAGAGAAAACGCAGATGGAGATGACGCAGCCTTGCAGCATGCACCCAGCGTTTTATTTCGGTCCCTAGCTCCTTCACCGCCAGAGCGCATATTCAGAAATAGGGCGCGTATTCAGGAATGGTTCAGGTCTCTGGCGCAATCAATAATATTCGCCGGGAAGGTCAGCCCTATAGCACGTTTAGAACTTGCTGCGACTCCCGCGCCAGGGGGTCATTCCTAGTGGAAGACTGGATCATTCATGTTCCCTCGTAGAGTCGGGACAATTATTAGGTACCATAGGCACCGCTAATCCCGAATTGCTCATCCTCTTAGCGAAAACTCGAAAAATATCGCTCGCGATAGTAAAGACAACAATTGAACTCATCCGCTGAATACTCATAAGATCTCAAATCAATCTCCAACGGTTTGCGAGCGAATTCACTTCTCATCGGCTGCTCCGAGAGATCTTCATTTCGGTATTGCTGCCTCTCTGATTTTTCTGTCTGCGAAAATCGAGCAGCCTAAGAGAGTCTGCCCATCTGACCGAATAATTGCGGTGTGCGAGCATGTCCCGCTGCCACCGTTTTCGATCAGCGAGACTTCGATTCATACTGAGCTCTCGATGTCTGCGCTTGCTCTTGAAAAATATTCTCGGTGCTCCCCTGAGAGTCTGCGTGAGTCATGCGTCACCTTCAAGCTCTCCCTAATCGTCGTCGTACATTTCTCTGTCTAGTGCTCATGGCTCCCGAATTCGACCTCTCCAAGTCGCCCTTTAGCCCTCGGCGTGGGTAATCTTGGAAAACGCCAGACGAACTTCCGCGCTGGCTACGGGACCTCGACGGCCCGAGACGTGTTTCCTCGCATGGCAAGATCGTGCTCTCCCAGCTCGATTGGTCGGTATCGAATCGTCGAATTCCCTGCTTTTTGTGACGCGAATTAGACACGGCGCGATTTCCGTGATAATTGAATTCGAGGTCGAGATCCCCTCCCCCGCGCGAGGACATTTTTTTCGAGTCGAAGAATCGAGCTCCGTCGGAGTGCATCTAAATTTTTGAAAGAATAGAGGAGACCTCTTATGTTAGAGGTACTTCTCGGGATAGCAGTCCGAAAATTGGCGGTCACTCGAAAATGCAATGAATCAGCTCAGCTCGACAACGAAAGCTCCGTCGAGATCCGGAGTGGGCCGCCGAGGCGTGGGCTTCGATCCACAGCGACCTACTCGGCTCTCAATTCAAGTCTCCGCCGAATAAATTCAATAAGCTCTCTGCCTAATAGAATCCAAATCGATTGAGATCGATGAAGGGGAATCACCGATGTAGTTCCCGGTATATTTGTATAGGTAGATTACCTATCTTTACTCACGATAAAGAAGGTTCGCTAGCAGGTTTGACGGTACGCAAACTAAGAGGACGATTATATCGACGCACGCCAGGTTCACAATAAGGTGATTAGTGACGGTCCTCATCTTCGGGGTTTGCAGAACCACTATCACAACGCAGAGATTTCCGACGAGTCCTATGATAAACACTGAGAGATAACCGAAGATGAGCAGAAGACTCAGATCGAGTGAATAGCGGTAGATAGTATCAGCAACCGTCGTCTCCATGAAGTGCACCGAGTCGACTTCAAGCTCCATCTTTCGGAACAAGCCGATAAATCTCAGCTCGCTGCCGCCCTCCTGTTAGTTTATTTTTCCGAGAAATATTGTGAGTTTCTCGTTCGATCGATGAATCTCTCCGTCACTCCGCGACATTCTTGGAATCCAATTCACCGCGAACTCGCTGTTCGTCGCGCTCATAGAGTATCCATCCACTCAGTTAGTCAATGATCTCGAGGCGGAGCGACATCCTCTGATCCGGAAACTTCCATTGCGGGCGACTCGGGAACCGAGATGCCGTGGTCAACAGACCTCTGAATGCCCGCACGTTTTTCAGAGGATGCGTCCTCGCTGGAGAGGGACGAACCCTCTCCGACTTAGCGGAGGGTGCAAGATTAATTTCGTTTTGCGACTTCACTCCCCGCAGTCCATCTGTATTACATTTTTATTGCCCTCACGTGTGTGTCGCGACTGACTCTCCTTTCGAAAACGAACTCGACCCCGACGGAAGGTCTCTCTTATAGATGAGCATCTTCGGGGCTCAGGCTGGATTCCAATAGAAACAGACTCTTTTCCCGTCAAGGAGGGGATCTTATTGTACCGAATGACCTCCCCCATCCTCGATAATTCCTGCCGAATTTCTCTGGATGCTTGAGGCCACAGCGAATGCAGAATTCCATTTTTGATCCTGGTCCAAGATCGATCGAGGCCTCTCGCCGCATTGAGCTGCTGTCTCGCGGTGTCGATGCCCGGGAGACGAACTTTCGCAACTTGCAACTGAACTTCTTGGAGGGCGTTCTCACTCCTGCCCAGTCAACTCAGAATGGTTGTGAACATCCTGTTTCAGACGCGATTAACTCGATGAACTCTAATTTTATTCGTTCTCTCCGATGCTCTGAGCGGGCTGTCCGACAGGGGAATATTCGCTACGGCTTTTAGAAATGATCCGATTCCTATCTCCAATTCAATGGGGCAGAGGTTTCGGACCTGCTCAACAGTTCTGCCTGACAGCTGCGTGATTGTGTCTCGAGAGAGATCGAGGAAATTTGACGAACCAGCTGACTGAGCCTTTCTCTTCTGATTACGCTGTAGGATGTGGAGGTTCTCAATGCTTGCCGCTCATAAGACTCTCATGATCAAAAGGATTCCATTCGAAATGAGCTATTCGAGTATACAAGTTCGTCCGATTGTCAGATGCGACGGCATAAGCTGGATCCGTAGCACGTTCATGAGCCCGGAAGACGGTGCCGGTGCTGACGTGAGGGGGGTTTTGGGATCCGAGGTAGGGACTCGATGCTTCCGGAAATCATGCTCATTGCTTCCTTCTCATCACGAATGGATGGTGCGCAGTAGAGCGAGACTTCTACTCGACAGAGTCGCTCCACGGGAGGGGTCGAGCCTGAATATGTTCCGTGTCGAAGTTATCGAGGATGATCGACGAATTGAACGGAGCCCTCGAGCCAGATTTCAAATTCGCTCCGATATCGATTTACGGTCAGAGGTCGGCTACTCAACACGAATCGACGCCAGATCGCAGCAACGGGCAAATTGAAATTCGGGAGGGTTTCATTCACGAGGCGCTTCATTCATCATTGAAACCTCAGATTCCACACAGCTCCTGAATCACGACTTCACGCATCGCCCTTCCGACCTGGGGATGCTCGCAAGAGAGCGTACGCCGAACGGTCCATAATACAGTCCTCGTCACTGCCTGTGGTCAAATATAGCGGAGCTCGCAACGGCTTGTAAGGGAACGATACCCCGATCGGGGAATTCCAGCGAGGTTCGTTTCGAACGTCTCCATCATCAGACTTGAACAGTCGCTTTATAATCCGTTTTCGGGGGGAGCCTAGAACCGAGTTGCCGACAATTCGACTGAGCCTGGATTTCTCAAGGTGTCCGAGTTCGGTGCTCCATAATTTATAAGTTCCTTCTCGTGGATAGTACTCTCGAGCGCGTCGCCGGTAGTCAGAGTCTTTTCAGGTGATACCCGCCTTGATTTATTTCGACAACGACCGCTTCTCACTACTGGCTCCGGGAGCATAAATTGAAGCTTTCAACGAGACAGTCGCCTTCACTAGACAGCAGGGATGGGAGGGGATCGATCCTAACATGACGAGATACAGACTCTGCATTCGACCTCAACACTTTGAAGCTTTCACGCGCTCTAGAGGCATCACATTACGAGATCACGAGACTACTCGAGGAGGACATGAGAGGGTGCCTACTCTCGGTCTATATCCGAATGGATCCTCCGATCCCAAGGTATTCTAAACAAGGTCCCGTGACAATGCGGGGCAGATGATACCTACGCAAAAGGAAGTAGGAAGCGCTGAGCCCGTACGTGATAGAATCTCGGTAAGGACAGAATGAGGGCATTGACTCCGGAGCGAGATGGGTTCTTTTGGAGGATTATCGAATAGAATTCCCACACTTCGAGACGAATACGAAATATCGTCATACGAACAGGGCCGCAGGGAGAAATTCTGGGCCCGGGGGGAAATTCGGACATGCGCCCCTCCCGATCATGTTCTGTGATCTGTCACTAGAAAAGTGATGGAACGAATTCGTCAGAGCAGCAGTTTCCTTTCCATGCATTTTTTTAAGGGGAAGAATTTAGGACGCAGACAAAATTATTTGACTGAAGCCTGAGCTAGGGGCCCCTCCGGAAACCCTGGGCCCGGGATAAGAGGTCACCGATAACCCCCCTCTCGTCGGACCCGCATACGAATGCCTCGGCTAAGGATGAGGACCTGGAGCTTTCCGTCCTGAATGAATGGCTTTGAACATGCATCCGTATTACATATGGCTCCGAGGCTCGACGGGGATTATTGTAATCAATCGGAGAAACGATTCCCTAATGTTATCCGCTCCTGCTGAAGATGACCTCTCCGGTCGATGATTTCCTCTCACGCTCTGATGACTGTTTTCCGAGTTACGAAAGTTCGAAGTAGGTCTGATCTCTCAGGAACTCTAGGGCTCGTATCCCGAACCATGACGGGAGCGGGGAAGGAGAGCTCTGTATTTGCATGGAGGGGACGTGTAACTTACCCTACTGGGTCTGCGTCCGGAGTCCGAACCCCCCCGGATCGCGGGGAATATACAGTAAGCAATCAGTCAAATACCTTCTCGTGCCGCTATACGCACTTGAGACGGGAATGAATATCAATCATGTGCGTCGATTCCCTCTGTCCGGGGTTTACGCGGCTGATTGGCAGCGGCGCCGAACGTGACGCAATAAGCAGAGCGTATAACAACGAGTAGCACGTCGTGGGAAGAAATCATAGCTCACATTGGATTGCATTTCTCGGCGGATCGAGACCAACGTATAGAGTTTCTGTCAGGAGAGCTCCCGGCGAATAATATCAGTCACAATACGGGAACTTCTCCTTGCTCTACCCGAAGCTGGCTATTTACCCGGTAATTCGAGATCCGAGCGGGCTCTCGGTGCAGAGGCTCGTCCGCTCATATATTATTATTATCGTCTATATTCCTGAAGATCAGCTGACAAGAGACATTTCGCTCGGGTCACATGGCCGACTTCTGAGGTAGCAGCCATCTATTGGGATATTTCTTTAGTGGCCCCCATGCGAAATTATCTTGGTGGAACATGGCCCGGAGTCCGCGGAGAGCGTGAAGATCGAAAAGTAAGTAGCGCACCCGCTCAAGACAGGCGCATCGCGCTGTTCGCTCGATCCCGCGTTGCTCTTTAAGGCCCGCGCTGGGGTTGCTCCTCTAGGTACCGAGGAGCGAAAGCCCCCTTTTTCGGATATATGTAGATGCTCCGATAGAAATGTCAGAATAGTCTGGATCCTTCTCGGACCTAGTACCTAGGCCCTAGGACCTAGGGCCTAGGTGATAATCGCAAGCGGAGGTGAAGTGCTACGCCTGTACATGACTCGAGATTTCCGATGATCCCGTGCTGGCTCACAGGTGGCATTCGTCTGTCGGTCCTGGAGCAACCGCTGGTGGAAAGCGGACTGATCTGAGGGAAGATTCGCGGAATTGAGGCAGCTCGCGTTGCGCTTGTCGGTCGCACTCGCTGGAAATCCTCGCTTCCTCCAGACCCTGTGTTCCACCGAATCGGACGGGGGACGATTGAAAGTATTAACCTCGAAGAGTCGGCAGACGTGATTCTCAAACCCAGCGTAAATTTTCGTCAACCTATGAAGCAATCGCTGATGAGGAATCACACCTCGATGAGCGACGCAGTTCGTCCATCCCAGCAGAGAAGGAATCGCTCGTTGCCAAGCAGGCTGATCGCGCGAAGAGCTCTCGGCCGGCGAGCGATTCTCATCTCCCTCATGAGAAATGATCGAGTCCATCGCAGTCATCATCTTCGGCTGTGAAAATAATTCGCTGGAAGTATACGTCCGTGGGCTCCGTCATGTCAGATGGAGCGCACAGAACAATTTTACCGTAGGACTGCAACATGCATTCCGAAGAAGCTCGGGAAGGAGACGCCCCGCGAATCCGATCCTCCAGATTATGGGATCATATTCTAAGATAGTTTGGGAATGCCGTAGAACCGTCCCATCGCTTCAGTATCCATACCATGCTAATCGTGCGCGGCTCATTACGAAATGGAAAACTATTGTGCCGTCCTTTTGCTCAGGCCTCCGTCCTATTCCCACAAGATATTGGAAATCTCGAAAGTCGTCCATGATTAGGCTCTCTCCGAATCCGTCGATACATTGCTGGGCTGCGATGTGCACGGGCTTCGATTTTGCACTATTTTATGATAGATTTTGCATTACAGTATGATAGAATTCTTGATGATCCCGTCGCGGTCATCATCCTCGCATTGGGTGAAGAGCTCACCCTGGTCTTGGGCGTCTTCTCGGCTCGCAGAATCGCGAGAATTAGGGAACAGGATCTAGGATCCCCTGCTAATTGCAAGACCTCCGCGGGCAAATCTCGCTTTATTGAATCGATGATGATTCCGGCTTACAGAGCGTCATACATTGCAAGGTTCCTTCGCAACCATTGGATCCGAGGGCTTGCAATTGAAAGCCTCGGCGAAGTCTTCCATGTTGGAAAGACCCAAGTTGATGCGATAATGTGCTGGTGCATGTTTGTCCCACCGCGGTATGGCGGTATCCGTGGATGCCTTGCAGAAAATCATGGCCGAGTTCACAAAAAATAGTTGCTTGCGGCTCAAGCCGTGGATGTCTGGCATAGCGGGCTCGTCTGGGAACAATTTTTCGAACACTTTGTAGGCCAGTAGAGAGAGCTTGAAGCCGAAATTATCGGCCAAGGCCTCCGCCGCGAAGAGGTACCCCGATACTGCTCCCGGAACTTTGAATTGAGTGCCGAAGCATTTCCGAGCTGCCTGGAAGAGAAATACGGTGACCAGATCGAATAGTCAAAATATGAGAGACTCGTCCATTGTCTCCTCCATGACGGCTCAACAGCGGGCCAATAAGCCCACTCTGGACACAGCACTAATGGGACCGATCGCGAACGAATTCGATCTGAGCTTCTCACTCGATATCCGGCATTCTTGTAAACTTCCAGCTTGTCGTCTCCCTCCACTTCACTTGTCGGTAGATGAGCGATGTACTTGTCTATCGCGTGACCGATCTCATGGCCCACGACCAATCCGAGAGAAGCTAGGTTCATCCAATGTGGGAGAGATTCGACGTAGTGCGGATAGCTCAGAAGGCTCCCAGGCAGATAGACATCATCGTAGTAGGTCAGATACAGAATCTCGGAAATCTGGAGAAAGATGGCATATCACTACCCGATATCATACCCTAGGTATCATGAATATAAAGATATTATTATAAACGATTCAACAAACAGCCAGAAAGCCGGCAATGCCCGCTAACACGAAAAAAGATATCAGGCAGAATCTGCATCATGGAGACGGATTCTCCGAGGACTCTCTAATTTGCGGGTCCGAAATGGGTAATCCCGACTCGCGGCGGATCCCGGTTCTGGCATTGCCACGGTCATTCCGGCGAATTCGGGTTCGGCTACTCACAGCCTCCAGGTGCTCTGGCGATGAAAGGGATAGCCGACTCGAGATAGCTTCCTCGACTGCTTCGCCCATCTCAACTGAATTAGGTTTAGCAGGAAATCTGTCCTTGAGATCCGAGCTCTATGCTCAAGCATTTCATATCTGTCGAATGTAGAGGGGTAGGCCGTTCGGTCCCGCAGTATCATTAGGTTCTGTAGCACGAATTTCAGAGCTTTGGTCCGTCCCTCGAAAAGTTTCTCCAGTTTCTGGAAGGGCGTGACATGTTCCCTTGTCGAATGTAGACTCGTCGTCCTACGGATGTGGATTCATCTCGAATGTCGTCTAGGATCAGAATGCTTATTTGCCATTTCCGATACCTTTTGCATGATGACTTTGAGCATACTGAAGAAGAATCTGACGTTCTTCGCCGTATATGCTGTCTGCGTGAGTCTTGACAGAATCGCAATTGCGCTCCACTTGACTTCTTCATACGTCTGTGCGAGTCAGAGGGAAGAATATCTCATATCATCGTAGGTGGTATAACCTCCTCCCAACGAGCCGCGTGAGACCGAATTTTCGCTCTGACGTACGATTTTTCTTCCGACGTTTGACTCGGTCACCGGTAGACCTAATCGTCGAAAAACTTCGCTACAACGATCATTCGTTTTAGAGGACCGTCACTGATGACGCAAGCGTGCTCGTTGCGACGAGATCATACCGTAGCTCCATAGGCCGTTGGCATATACCAAGGAAATTATGATCTCTCACACAAACGCCTAATCTCGAGCTTACCGCCTTAGTGCATCGATGATCGACGTCGATATCTTCTTTAGCACACTTGCCGTATGCGCAGATGTTCCGGTATGCGCTATCACTGATAGCTTTCCCGAAATCAGAAATCAGAAGAGCCACTGCAGCAAAATCCTTGAAAATTTGCATCGTTTCGAAATCGCTCGAGATCTTCGCAATACCATCGAAAAATTCCTGATCGAAATTGAGCTCGTGCGTTTCCTCGTTGATTTTCGCCAAATTCACGACATGAATGTTGAAAAACTTGAACCAAGGGAACCTCGTCAGTTTTTTCCATTCGGCGAAGGTTCTCCGCTGACGCCTATTGCGCACAAGGAACAAGTGTTTGGTTGCGTTTTCCACGGCGAAGTGATTCCTGCCGTATCTGAGAAGCCGGGACCGCTCAATCGATAGTCCAGCCGCAGAGAACACTGAAGAGAGTTCATTCAATATCTTGGGATCGTTCGACGTATCTTTGGCGGACTCTAATAAGATAGGTTTCCAGTAGTCCGAAAAATTCCCCGTCACCCGCATCGAGGGATCAAAGAGCCTCGGAGTATAACTCCGCCCCATTCTGAAGGAGTCCGATGCGATGTCTACCGAGAATAGCAAGTCGATGTCGTATTTTAGAGCTAGGTCGAAGAGCACGGAGAACCCGGTTACGTTCGGATTGGGCATCTCGTCGAAATACTCGAGTCTCACCGAATGAAAGAATCGCCGTAGAGTACTCTCCGCTGAGATCTTTGGTCCCGAGCTGTGAGCATGAATGCAGCTCGAGAAGAAAGCGACTGCTTGATTTTCAGAATCTCGGAGCATTGATATCGGTTTCTGCGACATTTTTTTTAAGGCTTTCCCAAGAATGATCATGTTGGCCTCGACCACCCGAATGATTGTGCCAGTCGGGCCGAACTTGCCTCCGAGGAAATTCGGATCTTTCTTCAGCCAGCCCAGGCAAACATACGAATAAAAGTCGTCGCATGGGTTCAGGGAGGTGTTGATCGATGCTTGGAACGCATCGGCAACAGCATTGCAAACTCCGGTGGTGCAGATTCTCGCTTCAGCTGAGGTGAGCACGTTGAGTATGGCGAGTACGATGCCTATGGCAAATCCGAGTTTCTTGATCATGTCTGGTGCTTAACCATAAACGAGGCAGTAGAGCGGGACAAGCTGCGCGCAGAGGCACACGCATTGGCGAGGAAAAGAGTCGACACACGCGAAGGGAACGACGAAGTTCGTCATTGCGAAACCCGCGCCGAAAATGAGATTTGAAGCCGGATCTCTGTAACGCTCTCCCCTACTGTCAGAACCGAAGACCCTCGTCTTCGCTCCATGATCAGATCGAGTGTACCGAACGTTCTGATACTAGCCAGGAAGCATGCTTCAAAATCTGGGGGGATACGTTCGTACGCGATCGCGATCCTCTATCCACACCGTCGAGCCCAGACAAATAGAGAAGTCGCGCTTCGCAAGCATATCTTCTTCTTTCAAACAGTCTTTCGTGAATCCCGGTTACTACATTGCCCGAGCCCTCTTGACACCATCGGCCTATTGGCCCGGAAACTCAATGCCCCATTGCGAGCCGGGGGCATTGAGCCTCTGCGGCGGGGGTCACCGATGAGGCGGCTATATTTCCTTGCGCCATAATTAAGCGCCAGCTGGGGATTCTGACAGCCAATCAGAAAGAGGAGAGTCTTTCATGCATAAATGGGGCGGACCCTCGCAATCAGGTGGATAGATACATATTTCAGTTTGCGTGGCCCCTATTCTTTGACCCTGAATCCGAGGATCTGAGAGACTCCCACATTCGGAAGAAGTTACACGTGTTGATAAGATAGCGTGTATAATGCATAGAAGCTCTTCGGAAAAAGATTGGACGTGGGGAAGCAAGGATTCCAGGAGGGCTCACCCTCTGCGACGAGGTCATTATGTGGGCAGTGCTGCGAGACATTCATCGGGGGCATCCAATTTCGCACTGTCACCTTTGTCGACCTCGGGCTTCACATCTATGATCAGTTTCCTGACCGATGCAACGGTGGGCTCTTGCTGACCCGCTGCTTCAGCTTCCCTGAACTTGGCCCTCACTTTAGCTCGACCGGCTTCACTCAACTTGCAGCTCTTGAGGCAACTTCCAGCCTTGTTGCTCAGAGATTCTGCGGACGGGATAATACAGGGTGCGACTACAAGAAGCGCGACGTAGAGCTTCTCAACTGCCTCTGAAATGTGGATGGGACAAAAATAATTACTGGCAGCACACGAACACACCCGCTTCTGACAGGGATCTGCAGATCAGCCGGCTGGGGGATCCGCGTCGGATACGCTCGACCGATGCTAAATTCCTCCACTGCCTTACGGTCGCTGCACATAAACGAAAAGAATCTGATACACACCGGGCCCCGAAATTTTCCAGATTCCGTCGTGTGAGCTCGACGGTGATTTTTGCGGAGGAAAATTTCGCCCTCAATTCCTATTCGAGCGCTCCAGGAGGTAGCGGGCGCATGAATCGGATTCAGCCCTCCCATCCCCTGAATCCCTGTAGACCCGACCGTCTGGAATCTTCGCCTATCTCCGGATTCGATGATAAGTCCGCGGCACTGCGCGACCAAACGAGCGCCCCACCATACATGGGCCGGCAATGCGTTCATTTTGTTTAGACCGTTCACGAGCCGGGAGGAGAAAGGGAGAATATCCCCGGTTGCTCTGGTGGCAGGTGTAGCCGTGGGGAACTTAGCGGTGCTATGGATAAGAGGCCCCTCAGACCTTCGAAATCCTAAAAGTGACGACATCTCGAAGAGGACGTGACGGCATGGTCGGAGACAGCTGATTAGCCAAGTTCTGGAACGATAAGGACTGATTGACACAGCATGGATGTGTCAGAGTTGCTCCGGCAAGAGGTCGATCGTCTCTCACGAGAACTAGACGAAGCAAATAATGAAAAAGTACAAAGTGCAAAGTACGGCTTGGTGCTTCTCGAAGAGAAAGCAGCACTAACCCGACGGTGCGATGAACTCGAGAAGCACTATGACAGCGCGAGGAGTGAGCTAGAAATTCTCAGAGAGGTGAGTTGTCCAACACGGGTGTGGTGCTCCTCACGGTGTGGTTCCATTTCGACAGCGAGTCCAACGGAGCGAGGACGGGGGTCGGTGCCTATCTCGGAAAGCTTGTTGTGGAGGATTTCGTCCATGTCGATGAAGTAGAAGCATCGCCTTCATTCTATAGTCAAGCGGAACGATCATTCCCTAGGATTCGTGGCAGAGGAAGATGTAATTACCGAGCCTCGTTGCATCCCTCCATTCGATTCAGCCACTTGTTGACTCTAGCATGACTGAAAATTTTGGCATTATCTGCTTCTTCTTCGACTTCTGGTTATCAAGCGATAAATGTCTGCACCAGCGGATTTTCTCGAGGGAAAGCGAAGAGCTCACCCAGGCACGAGCAGGCAACCGAGGTTCGGGAGTCCTTACGAATTTCGAGACGATCGGAATGCTCAAGTTCCATGACCTCCTCCGTCAATCGACCAAGCGTCCCATGCCTGTCGACGACAGAGCGATACTCTTGTTTTTTCGCGAATTGGTGGCCGTCTCCATGTGGATATATATATAGCCCTCAAAACATGGAGATGCATCGCGTTGATTGGCGAACTTCCTCCCGCAATTGGGCACGGAACTGGGAGCCGCCGGGCCCCAAGGGACTGCTCCAGCCCATTGCCAACGTCCCCCGACTCCTTGAAATCCGCTCTAGAAATGACGTGCGGATCATTTTTCATTCTTTCACAGGCCCTCAAGAAAGTTGAGACCTCACAGAAGCTGTCGGCGACGACCGGCATCGAACAAGAGGATTCTCTCCTGGAAGAAGCTGCCCAGAAGGAGGCCTCACTGACTTTGAGCCTCCAAGATGTGGAAAAGGAGCTCAAGTCAGTCAGGCAGGAGTTGGGCAGGGTCACGGCGGAGAGAGACCGCATGATAGCCGACGCTGCAGATCTGAAAGAGTCGCATTCTAAGAGTGACTGGGAACGGAAAAACCTGCGCACTGAGCTCAAAGATGTCAAATTGCGCGAGCAAAGACTGCTCTGCGACAACAACGAGCTCGAGGAAGAGAACATCGGTCTTCAGAAGCAGATTTCCACACTAAGGCAGAGTCAAGTCGAATTCGAAGCGGTCAAGCACGAAGCCAGACGGCTCGCCGAAGAGGTCGAGGCTGTCAAAGGCCAGGCGGAGGACATGTTCCGTCTCAAAGGCGAGTTACTTTCACAGACTTTCTCCAGGTCCGTATCAGGAAGCTCAAGAGGTCTCTCCTGATTCCTTCCACTGCCCCTCCACAATTCTTTCCGCTTCCTGCCCCATTGAGCTGATTTGGTTTCCCTCCGCAGATCTTTTCCAGAAGCAGCTGGCCGAAGCTCTGGATTCGCTCCAGAAAGAGCGAGAGCAGAAATATCTCTACAAGAAAGAGTTGGACCAAAGAGATCAGGCGGCCGCTCTTTCCGGCAACATCGCTGGTCTCCGCCTCGAACTGGGCGAAGCTTCTGCCGACGACAAAATCCGACCATCGACCGTAGGTGATCTCTTCAGTGAACTTCACCTCACAGAGAGAAGGAAACTGGAGAAACAATTGGAAACGATCGAACTCGAGAAGGATTCACTGGCCAAAACGCTCGAGGATGCCAAGCAAGAACTCGAGCTTTGCCGTACAGAGCTCGAAGATAGAGGCAGGAAACTGCTCCTATTCGGTGAGCGGGTCACCGCCATCATAATGCAGGCCGAAAACGTGAGTATCGTTAGCTTTCGAATTATTACTATCTCCACGGATCATCATAGCGCGAGTAGCTAGAGCTCTGCAAACGCTTACGTTTCCTTCCTAATTTCCCAGGAAGCAAACTCAAAGATGGAGAGCGCAGCTGCGCTCCTGACGAATTTGAAACTGGTCCAAGGGGACCTATCGAGTCTGGACAAGGTCGACGGGCTAGACATGAGCGAGAACGTTGTCCTGAAAAACCAAGTCGCTAATTACATGAACAAGATATCGACGTATGAACAACAGATCAACGATCTGAGCGAAGATCTGAAAATCGTGAGCAACATCGGTGACTGGATCAACGGCAGCACCCTGAAGGCGCTCGAAGAAATCTACGCGGTCCAAGACGACATTGCGCAGCTATACCACCACATGTGCACATTGAACGGCCAGACCCCGAATCGCGTGGTGCTGGACCACGCGAGAGGCGATCAGAAAGAAACGTCGAAGAGTCCTGTTGAATCACTGTCCGACAATTTCCGGACTGCCGATTTCCGCCAGCTTCCTTTCAAGAAGGTCGACCCCGACGCTGTCAAAACCCAAGTGGAAACTCTTCGAGACCAAGTAAAGTTCCTCAAAGAAGCTGTCGAGATGGCTGTCGGAAATCCACACACAATCACGGACACCGGTGCCGCCGACTCCGTGGCCACCGCGACCGAGGAAGGCGATCCTCAAAAACAGATCATCAAACTCAGGTCGCTCGTATCAACCAAGCGTGAACAAATCGCTACACTCCGAGCGGTGCTCAAGGCCAATAAGCAAACGGCCGAAGTCGCTCTCGCAAATCTTAAGGCGAAATACGAAACGGAGAAGTCGATTGTTTCCGAAACGATGCAGAAGTTGCGGCATGAACTCAAGATTTTGAAGGAAGATGCGGCGACTTTCGCATCGTTGAGAGCGATGTTCGCGGCTCGATGCGAGGAATACGTCGCGCAACTGGATGAAATGCAGAACCAGTTCAGAGCGGCAGAAGAGGAGAAGAAGACCTTGAACTCACTTCTGAGGTTGGCCATCCAGCAGAAATTGGCGCTGACGCAGAAATTGGAGGAGGCCGAGATGGACCGCGAGAGGAATCATCTCCGGAGGTGCGTAATCGATGAAACCCCCCATTCCATTAATTATTATCGGTACCAAAATCCCCGAGGAGAGCTGTCTCGAATCCAGATGCCATAATTCTAGATTCATCGTCTTCCGTTGACTTTTCAGATCGGGGTCCACGACCGCATCGCCCCGAGTTGCTCGGAGCACGCCGAGAGGAAGTCCCCACCACTCGTCTCTACCATTCTTCAATAACCAACGCCAACCGAGACCCTCGGGGGATTATTGAACGGAGCCCGGCCTGATATCTAGGACTCCATTCGATCCAAATTTCGGAATCACGGAATTTCTGGGAGGTCAGCGGGGAAACTGGGCGGCGGAAGAACTCGAGACAGACCGATCTTCTCCCCAAATCGAACAGTCCCTCACGCAGAATGCGGTATCGGGACCCGCCCCCCCCGAGTTCTCCAACGCGTTGTGCAAGGGTCCGAACCCGATAATGAGCATCAGACACGAAATATTCTTGGTCCTGCAGCACTCGGTGAGACCGACTGCTGCTCGGCTCGCACACTCATAGGTATACGCCGCACGCGTTTACGGAATCTCTTCCCCTTATGCGACCGGATCAAGCGGTCTTGGAGGCCTGAGGAAATCGTCTCACATGTGTGAGCCTTCGTGAGCTGAAGTCGATCCTCCGATCGGAATCAATCGGCTGTGATGTAGTCGTTCTTCTGCTTATTCGTTGTTCTATGCCCTTTTGGATAACTTTTTGAACGATCACTCGGGCTGTTTCCTCGATGTTAAATCGTGTTCACTCCAGTATTGGCCAACAGATGCGTTTGATGCATCATGTAGTCAACGATTCATGAGGCTGTCCATATTTGTACTTATCTACTAACTTATTCTATGCCGAACATTATTTCGGAGCCAATGCTGGTCTGTGTCTCCTAAGCTAGAACTAAGTGGCGGGATCGATAGCTTCTTGCAAGAGTAACCCCTTTAAGTATACAGTAAAAGCTCGTTACTACGAACACGAAGGGACCGGCGACACTGGTTCGTTGTACCGAGTTTCCGCTGTAACGAATTCCGCTCAACACTTTCCCTATGGCGGGCTGGCCAAAGGAGGAGAAATTCCTTGTTCGTTGTACCGAGAAATCCGTTGTAATGGGGGTCCTTATAACGAGCTTTTACTGTAGATATAGAGCCGCAAGTTATGGAAGGGAAATAAGGAAGGTGATAAACAAGTTCCACCGTCGGAATAAATGACGCGAGATGATAAAAGGTGACGGCTGTTTTCCTTCTCAGAATTACTCTTTCTCTCGTGACCATAGCCATGAAAATCTATCCAGATCATGATCTGGACTCGCAGAGCCCTCCTCCCCGATCCTTCGGATATGATCCTGATATAATGGACAAGAAAATTGAGAGCACGAATGGAATGACCGCTCTCTGCGATCAATGGGCACCGGGGGTCGAGAGAGCCAAGGCGAAAGTGTCGGCTGAGCGCGCGTCGAATTTCCTGTACGACATCAAGAAGAAACATGGCTCAGACTTCCCGTCACTGCTTCCGAGAAATGGCTCACAGGAAAAAGGCCGGCTGTCGTGCACGCCATCTTGGAAGAATTCAGGGGAGCCGTCTCCCAGAAAACTCTGGACTACAGCTGGGTAGGCAGCGTTCCTGTATTCATAAAATTCAAAATCAGAGACGCCATGAATGTTGTCGCGAACAGGGAGGATGAGAGCACAGTAAATCTCCATGTCTCGTAAAAATGAACTGTTCAAACTCCTGTAGTCGGCCACACGGACGTAGCCTTCACATGCAAAGTGTCGATGGTCCCGTAGGGACAGATTTTCGATTAGGAAATGAGGTAGATCATCTTGCACTGGTTGAAGTCCGAAACGGAGATTTGCATCTGAACAATCACGGCGGGTCAGACGAAGATAACGGATGAATGACCGAACACTATGGTCTAATTTCAGAAGTATGTAATAGATGCGGGGGCTGACCGTGACCATGGTGAGATCAGTAGTTGGTCTGAACTCTGAACCAATCACAGGGTTAACGTCGTTCTTCGAAGAACGCGAATATGTATTTTGCATAGAGGTTTTTGTTTGAAGGGAACCCGAAACCGTATTGAGACTCGAGCAAATTGAAGGAGCCCCGAGCAAATGAAACTGTCATTTCTATTCATTTGCGTATGCGACAGGTCCAGAATCGCTTATTCCTATGGAACCATGCTTTTCCCATAAAAGGGAGGTTGCAACCCTAGTCCGTATCGAGATCTTGCTGTTCATCGTTCCTGACGACGAAGCGTGAGCAAGAACCGAGAACAATGGCGAACAATGATTCTACACCCGGCGTTGAGACGTTTGAGCTCGCTTGCGAACTCCGGCACATTGTGTTACGGTTCTGAGGAAAGAATGGGATACGACTCAGAGCAGCTCAGATCCGTGAAGTCCTGAGAGCTCACCCCGAAGTATCTGCCGGCTTGAAAGTCAAGGCTCATGTTGATGCACGTATTCCCGATTACCGTTTCAAATTGAGTCTCGTCGAAAAATCAAGAAAGAGAGGGAGGAATCTGTACTTGTTGACTGTAGACCTGGATAAAGTAAGAGGTAGGGTGAGCCAAGACTTCGAGTCTGTTACGAGTATAGTGCGCATGACCCACATCGTTTTTGGGGGCACTATATAAGGAGCTGCCATCCCCCTATATCCCCCTATATAATAAAATCGCAAGGTCTGTCTGACTTCGAACCAATTTGTGGCGCTTTCCTCCTCCGGACTGACTCCAAACTTTCGCGAGCGATGCGACTTTTCGTCAGGGAGGTAAAGATGTACTTTTCAAATGGAATCGCCACGTGAATTACGTGAATTTCACGTATTCTCCCAGTAATCGTTATTCTTCCAGTAATCGTTATTCTTCAAAATATGTGAATGCTTCACTATGATGTCTACACTCATTTCGAGGAAACTTCCGCTGCAGGAAACTTCGTCCTGCCACAAAAAATTTGTGAATTTGAGATTTGATTCGTGTCTCATCGACAATGAATCGAGCATGAAAAATCTTCGAATGGTCGGACACCAAACTCATCGGTCACCCACCAATATCCGTTCCGTCTCTTTGAGCGCCGGAGCCGTAGCAGCTTCTCCTATTGGGTCTGCCATCAAAGATTCCTCATGCCGAAAGTGAGCAGGAGGCGTCGAATCTGTCAACGAAGCCGAAGGCGTCAACCAACTCCGGGACCGGCTTTGGAGATCGGAGATTCAAGTATAAGCGATCAGGAAACGCCCCCAGAGCCCGATGTGCGAACTCAGCTTACGCGGCGGAATCGGTCCAGCGTGTTTGAAGCAAGAGTTCGGCATGCAGTTGATGCTCAGCGGGCTTCAATGGAAATCCTTGCTGATCGTGCTGATAATGTTGCACATCATCGTAGAAATGATTCGGTTTCAACAGTGACGCGGCGAAGTCGGAGAACGCTCGGTATAGCTCGAGAGAAACAACATAGGCCTTCCGCCTCTCATCATCTCGGTAGTATGGACGATATCTGTAGCGGGTGCGGGGCCGAACACTTTCCATCCGAAAAAACTACGACCGGACAAAATGCTTATACAATGTGCTGTGCGTCGAACAAAGTCCGATTGACTCGGTTCCGAAATTTTCCAACGGTACTACGATCACTCTACCTTGGTCAAGATAACGATTCCAAGCATTTCCGACAGTACATTAGAAACTACAACAACTCATTGGCGATGGCTTCGATGACGGCTAAGATCGAGACGCCTCGCGGTTACGGTCCGTATTGTCTCCGCGTTCATGGCCAAGTCTACCATTCGTTTGGAGGTCTCTATCCCCGCGAAGCTGAAGCGCCCAAGTGTGCTCAAGTCTTAATTATGGACACTGAAGTGGCAGCCCACGAACTTGCGGGTCGACAAGTCAACACGGGCTGCCGAGAGACAATCTTTCGTCTTCTACATGAACTCTTGAGGAGCACAAATCCATATGCTCAAGCATTCAGGCTAATGGCCGATGTCGTTCGCGATGAAACGCACGAAGCAGAGCTCCAGGGTCGTCATACGAGATCGGTTAGAATGGTGTTCGAACACAGGACGGTCGACGATCAACGTCGCTACAATGCTGCGACAGCCAATGAAGTCTCCGTCGTCTACGTGGGAGACGAAGACAATATTCCAGGAGAGTGTCGTTTAGTAGTGTATGAAAAGACCGGCAGTCTTCGTAGTATTCCTCATCTCGATGAGCGTTGTGATCCTCTCGCGTATCCGCTTTTGTTTCCAACTGGGGAAGGTGGTTGGCATCCCGGGATGCAGCGAGAAACATCGAATATGGATCTACATTCAGATGGCGTTCCGACCGCGAGATCTCGAATCACCCAAAAAGACTTCTACTCATTCCTGCTGTTAAGTCGGACCTCTGTCTTCAATCCTTTGCATCACGCGGGCAAACTCCTGCAGCAATACATCGTTGACAGTTGGATTAAGATCGAGATGAATCGCCTGAACTATATCCGCCTCAATCAACGCCAACTAAGGCTTGACACCGTTCGCGGTTTGCAGGACTTCATGCTCGGTGATACCGATAGTGATGGACCACCGGGCCGGAGGATCATTTTAGCGGCTTCCTTTACTGGAGGACCCCGATACATGGTAGCGCAGTACCAAGATGCCATGAGTATCGTGTCGAAATACGGAAAACCCGATCTGTTCCTTACCTTCACTTGCAACCCGACCTGGCCAGAAATCGTCGACAACCTCGCACCCGGTCAAGTAGCCTCTGATCGACCGGATTTAATAGCGCGGGTCTTCCAGCTCAAAGTCAAAGCATTTTGCAATGAAGTCATCAAGAACCAAGTATTAGGCGAGGTCGCCGCATACATTTATGTGATCGAGTTCCAGAAGCGGGGCTTACCCCACATGCACATGTTGCTGACCCTCACCGCTGATTCAAAACTCAGAACCCCTGCAGAAGTTTATAGCTTGATCAGCGCAGAGATCCCCGATCCATCCAACGAAGCCGCGTTATACGAAATCATTTCCAAGTGTATGATCCACGGTCCGTGTGGGAAGCTGAATCCTTCTTCGCCATGTATGGTTGACGGGAAATGCTCGAAACGCTTCCCCAAAGCTTTCAATAACGACACATCGCTCTCTACAGAAGGTTATCCAGAGTACAGACGCCGTGAGGATGGCCGTTCGATATGGCGCAACAAACATCGAGTAGATAACCGCTCAGTCGTTCCTTATTGCCCTTATTTATCGTTAATGTTTGGAGCACATATCAACGTCGAGGTATGTGCTCTTCTCCACGCCATCAAATATCTCTTCAAGTACCTCTATAAGGGACCGGATCGCGCAAGACTCCGGTTGCATCAAGGAGAACCATCTGAGGACGAAGCCTTAGATGAGATCACCGATTACTGGGATGCACGGTACGTTTGCGCCCCAGAGGCAGCTCATCGAATCTTCGGCTTCGCCCTGAGCGATCGCAGTGATGCCGTCACTAGATTGCAAGTTCATCTGCCGGGGTTCGAGACTGTGCGCTTCGAAGCAGGGACCGAAGAATCCGCATTGACGGCAGCGAGGTACCGTTTCTCCACTTTGACGGCTTTCTTCGATAAGAACGCCCGGTGTCAGAATTTGGAAAACGAGCAAGGATCATTCCCTTCAGATATGATAGATAGCCGTAAGCTTCGCTACAATGAAATGCCGGAGAAGTTTATCTTCAAGAATGAGATGTGGCAAGATCGGAAACGCAATACAACAAAAACAATTGGGCGGATGTACTTCGTCAGCCCTCATGATCATGAGCGGTTCGCCTTGCGACTCCTGCTCCTCTATGGAAAGGGCTTCACGTCCTACCAAGATGTTCGAACCGTCAATGGTGTCGAGTATCCGTCCTTCGTCGAGGCAGCTAGGGCGAGTGAGTACGTGAGGGACGATTCATATTTTTCCGCTTCTATGCAAGAAGCTGCTGCTCTACGAATGCCGAGTCAACTGCGAAGTTTTTTCGTCGCTCTGCTCACCTTCGCAGACTTGATGCCACCCTATACAGTTGAGCTGTGGCATGAGTTCAAAGAATACCTCATGGAGGACTTTCTTAATGCTGGCATGACAGCAGTCGCTGCTGAATCCAGAGCGTTCCATGATATAGCACGTCGGCTCGAGGACCTCGGCAGAGATATTCGAATGATAGTACCGCTTGATATTCCTGA